TGTGAGAGAAAAGGTAAGCAGGGGTCTAAGTCTGGCGGTAAGGATAACGTACCTAAAGGAGAGTGTAACAGAACTATAATCTCTGCCTGGACATATTTAACAATACATAAGCCTGGGAATACAAAAGAACATACTTGCCTGTTTATGTGGATTGTTATAGCACCAAAAAGGAATGCAAACTGCCGAACACCAGACCACCCTGCTGTGCAGTTAAGTGGTATTTTACCTCCCAGACCGGCATATACCGTTCGCATGATAACTGCACGAATCCTTTGTGTAAAATCTAGGTGGCCGCAATTTCGGGACTTTGCACATGTTTGCAGGCCATCTTACGCACAAACAACAGTGATTTGCCATCGAGTGTCTGGAAATAAAAAGGATAGAAAAGGGGGGAAATATGGCAGAAAGGATATACTATGTATGGGGATTCCAGCGAACACCAAGTTGTATGCGGATGGCAGGATTTTCATGCTTTTTCAGCGCACGAACGGGGACCGACCGCAAGGCCAAAACTTATGGAACTATTTTCGGCCAGTGTGGTCAGTCAAAACTTTAAAGCTCCATAACTCCCGAACGCTTTCACCGAATGGAATGATTTTTCAGTATGTTGTTCCCCTGAATGAGGGCTATCTGGGGATACTGAATTTAAGGGTGTTGCCCCTGTTTTTGGGGTACACCCAAAACTTGGGTAAAAATGTGTGCACAATAATTATGTTAAATGTTTTCTGAGGGGAGGAGATGTGGGGGTTGTACCATGTTTGTGATTGGGTACTGTACTAATTATGTAGGTGTCGCCCTCCCAAGGGCAGAATTGCATAAAAGGGAAAACCCTGTTGTGACGAAGTGCCCTTCGCCACTTGTGCCTGGAGAGGACTGCTTACCCGCCTCTTGCCCTGTGACTATGGACCCTGGGAGATTTGGCCCGTTCAATTCAGAGGGATAGGAGTTATGTATTTTTGTATCCTTTTGTGTTTTACTGGGAACATGTGCTCAATGGAGTCTGCTTCTATCCCTGGATAATTGGATTACTTTCCCCATTGTCTCCAGGCTAGAGGGCTCTGTAAAACCAGTTTGGGCCAGATAGCCATGCTGCCAGCCAGGCCCCAAAATATATTTTACTAACTTCTTAACCCCTGGTCTGATTCATGCCATTTTTTGATATGTTGTTTCCCTGAATGGATTGATTGTAAATATATATTTTTTATGTGAATGTAATGTATATTTTAGAAGTTATGAATATGCTGTTAAAACTGTATTATTTCTGGCCAGCAGATAATTGAGCTTTGTGTATTGTAGAAACTCAATTATCTAGCCTGGCCCAGAGGAGGAGTTTTGTGTTGCATAAATTGTGAGTTCTGTGTGCCAGTAAATCAGTCTTGTTCCAGCATTAAGCCTTGGCTCATGTTTGGGGGATTGGAGAAATACACTCTGGGGATTGCTATAATCACTATACTCCCCAGGGTATGATCACTAAGTTCTGCTAAGAGCTTGTTCCTGTTCCTGCTCTCTGGGGAAAGAGAGGTTCACCCACTGGAAGCTGGATCCTGGCCTTGGGTCCAGGGTGGGTGGAGACAGCAGAGACCCCGGCGCAGTTGCATCGCTGGAAGTGGGGTCTGCAGTGCTGATGGTGTCGGTTGGAGTCCTCAGCAAACACTAGGAGCATCGATTGGCGGAGGTACTGAGTCGGAGTGCCAGCGTTCCGTCACACCTGTCAATAAAAGTTAGTTCTGCTTGACCCTTCAAAACGTAGCCTCGTCTCGTTCTTGGAAGGGATTTACTGCACCATTATCTTGCTACATTTTCCAGCTATGCCTGACTTTGCTCTTGGATCTCGTGGATGGGAATAATAAACTCCATTACTGCACAGCAGCATGCCAGGAAAAGGACGTCTCCAACGGCTGATACCCCGTTACTACCTGGGTAGCTGTTACAGAGAGTAACAGTGAAAGTGAGAAAGATGCGCCTGTGGATCGATCAGTATCCTAGGTGTCAGGATGTGCAGATATTGCTAGACAGTTTTAGAGGGTTTCTGTATTACTTTTATTAATCCTGAGTTCCCATTGTTTTCAGACAATTTCTGTTCCATTATTGGTAAGGATTCTTTTTAGTGGAGAAGCTGAATAAGGTGATTCGATTAGGGTGGATGGCTGGACCTTTTGATTTCCCCCCCTCCCCAATTCCAAATTTGTGAGTTTCCCCACTGGGTCCCTAGGCCACGAAGGATACAAGGTTGTTTCTTCTGATTTATCACTTGTCCTACCTGTCAGTAGGTCAGTGAATGATGATATAAACAAGGAGGATGTTCGCGTTCGCTACGCCTGATTTGAAAGGGAGGTTTAACTGTTTAGGGATACAGGAAAATGGGTGAAAGTGGCTAAATTGGACATTGAGTCTGCCTTTCACCAGCTCTCAGTACACCCAGATTGTTTTAATTTATTATGACAGTTTATGATAGTTTTAGGGCTCCTATTACAATGATATAATACAGCCCATAGACAGGCACATATCGTATTCATATTTTGAAATGAGTGGTGGCAGGGTTCTTGTCCTTGACTATTACTTAAACAATTTCATGTTCGTGGGGTCACAGGATTTGGATTCCTGTGGAGTGTTATTGGAGTCTTCTCATAAAGTGGCGGTGCACTTCAGCTTATGGTAGCGATTAATAAGACGGAATGCCCTACTGAAGTTTTATCTTATATCCAAATTGAGATTGATTCACTCAAAATGATTTTTTGGCTTCCAGAGAATAAATTGATGCATTTACATTACAGTGTTTTTTTCTATGGGCAGATCATTTTGCTGTCACTTGTCATTGTCTACTATGGGGGTGTAACAACCATTTTTTATTTTATTTGCATCACCAAAAAGCATCAAGATGATTTGTAGGTGTGGAGCTCTTTTCTGGGTAAGTACAATGGGCATACTTGTTGGCTGTTAGAAGCGATGTCTAACACTGACCTGGATTTATTTACTGATGTGTTGGGCGTGATGGGTTCGGAGCATATTTTAAAGGTTAAATATTGTGCGGAGGCATTACCTCCTGCATGGCATGATATCGAGTTGTTAGGTAATTTGACTTTTTTGGAGCTGTTCCCAATTGTTGTGGAACTGTGGTGTGAGGATATTATCAATAGGAAGGTGATTGTTCCCACGGACAACATGAGTATGGTGCATTTGATCAATCATTGCTCTTCTGCCTCTGTTCCGGTTCTGGCTCTACTCAGGCAATTAGTGCTGTTCAATATTTGGATTGTGGTCTGTCATGTGCCAGATGCTTTGAACGTTGTCGCTGTCTCTCTTTCTTGGTTTCAGTGGGATAGGTTTTAAGAAACAGCAAGGAGGCAGTGTAGATTTCAGCCTTGTACCCAGCCTATTTATTGAGCCAATTCCAATTTACCAGGGTGCTTCAGGCCTGTATACTCTTGGTGAGGAAGGATCGGTTTCAGTATTCCACACACTTTTTCCGACTTAGCAAGTTTGATAGGGCTTCCTGCAGAGATGCTAAAGCGTTTGGGTCATTGTGGAATTTTCAGGTGTGTTTGAATCTGCATTTGTTGTAAAACTCCCTATTCTATTTTCTCTTTTCCCTTTTTCCTGTTATTCTTCTTTTCATAGATTAATAGAGGGTATGCAGAAGAGTTTCACTAATCAGATCTCTGATTGCTCATAAATATATTGGTCAAAGCATGTTAAAACATGATATATGTAACGGATGCCCTATACTCTGGCTGAATATATCCGTTAGTAGTCTCCTGAATCCCAAGTGCTACAATGACTCTAGCGCTACTGTTTCCAGCAGTGTAGTGATTAGAGCTCTCCAATCCCCCAAACATGAGCCTAGACTTCATGAAGAGGTAAAACGAATGTACCCTAGAGGGGACTAGTTACACGTTACAAACTCCTCCTCTGTGCCTGAGAGATAATTAAGTCAGGAACTGAGCTTACTCAATTATTTCCAGGCACAGAAAAACATACAATATTACAAAACCCCCAGAATACCTATAAAACACATAAAACCCCCACAAAAAGTTACATCCCCTGATAGCCATGATCTGGGTGACCAACATATCCAAAAATCACCCAGATTGGTTTAGAGGTTTGAGATTTCCATGGAAGTCATAATTTTGACCGACCGTGAACATGGTCCAATGCCCAAAACAGTTCCAGGGAATCAGGGTCTCTCTTTCTGGAGTACAAAAGTACATAAATCACATGAATAGAGCATTTAAAATAGTTTTTCACAGGTTTCCCTGCAGGGCTCATAGTCTGTGGGCAGGAGGCTGGCAAGCAGGCTTCTCCAGGAGCTTGTGGAAAACTCACGTAGGAATGGGAATTTGTCACAATATATAATCTGTTTTATTTGAGTGAATACAGCGGCAGAACTACCACCGGTGCAGTTATTGCAGTGGCACTGAGGCCCGCAATAAGAGGGGGCCTATTTTTTACATTAGTTGTGCCACTGATTAAGTAATTTTATATATTGTACTTTGGCTCTTTGTTTAGAGTTTATGTTCATGCATGGTAAATACAGGAATCAAGACATTCCAGGTAGGGGATATAAAGCATTTAGTTACAATTACAGAACATATATATTTGGTCCTCTATTAATATTGCCATTTTGTGGTTTAAATTATATTCTTCTTTGACTTACTTGGATTGCTTAGTTTTAGTTTGGAGATGGTGGAACCCTTATATCATATTATGTTTCAATATTTTAGAAACTGTAAAATATTGCCATATAAGCAGTCAGCAGAAATACTATTCTTGTCCCAGAAATAAATAAAAATGATTGTCCCAAAGGATAATTGTTACGCACCCAAGGCATAAAGGTTTAAGACTAGCATCAAGTTCCAACTGGTCTGGCCGTGTCCCCGGGACAACGCCCTGCTGGAGAACAATAGAAAGGAAACAGGGGAGGGGCAAACCTTCTCATGTCTTCAAAGGGGCAGAAATACATGAATAGACCTTTCTACATAGGAAAATAAAGTATTTAAATGCCGGTCCATAGTCAAAAGGCAGCAGGCAGGCAACCAGGCTCCTCCAATGCACAGTGGCGAGATTGGTCTCGTCACATCTCTCCCCTTTTCCAAACAGACTAACAGGGTATCTGACCTCCTGCCGGTCAGTGCCCTGGTTAGTCCAGCAGCCCACCCACAAAACAGAAACAGCAGTACAGCCCACCCACAATAAATGGTTACTACACCTGAGTAAGGGAGAACCTTGTCCATGTCCAGGTGCCTCACCACGGCTGTGTGGGGGACTGGTAGGCTGCCTTGGTGGGTTGCTGAGTGGGCAGAGACCAGCAGCACTACCACGGAAGTAGCCTGGTTGGAGTCTGGTTGCTGGAGGGGGAGGCCGACTGTCTCCCCTTTGGATACACAGCTCTGCTGCTGGAGGGGGAGACCAATTGTCTCCCCTTTGGGCAAACCACCATGCTGCTGTGGGGGGAGACTGACGGTCTCCCCTTTGGCTAAACAGCCCTGATGCGGGGGGACAGGACTGACTGTCCCTACCCCCTGTGCTGTAAGTCCCATCTGCACGGTTGTGGGGCTTACTGTCTCCTGTGGGGATATTTATGGGATAATAATAGTAAACAGTTGAGAATTGCCCACTAATTCAATTCTCAGATCCCAAAGAACGTTTATCGTAAGTGAGAAGTATTTCATATAAATAATATTCACAATTTGTTATAAAAATAGATTTTATTTATAATAACAAGTTAATTAATAATAATATTATGCAACATGCATGATAATAATCAATGAATATCCAGTATAAAATGATATGCAATACAAAGAAATGGCTACACACGTCTCAACGGCTAAAACAGCATTTTCTGTCAAGACTTTATTTATGACTATCTTTCACAGACATAGAGAAAGTTTTACGCAGAGAACAGAATTCCTCAGAGTGCAGCGTAAGGTCGTAAAGTTTAGCTGACAGTTAGAATAACCCTTTCAATGCTGGCTAAATCTCCTAGGTAGTTAAGATCTATTCTTATGTCATTTTAAATAAAATAACATTTAAACCAGTTCATTAGTAATTTCCTGGAACCATCCAATAAGAGAATCTACCACATTATTTAAGCAGAGTTTAATTTTAATTTGTCTAAAAGATATCTTATCTTAATTTAGAGCAAATCAATACACCTGGATAAAAACAACGGTATGCTAACACGTGATAATATCACCTTAATATATAATTATTCTTAATTCCACCTGCAGAATGGAATGTTTATAACTATATATTCTTTAGTTAACTAAGATTTCTTAATATGGAAATCTGACCGTGCTTTATCCAGTCATATATAATGCTATTAATACATTTTAATTAATTTAATTAATTAAATGAAACCAGTATAATTACCAGTTGAGTAGATATTCCATTCGATTGGTAGATAGTCTCAGGAACTTATTTGGATGTCTCTCTGCATGGCGGTATGGTGAAAGGTGGTGTTGGTTAGAAAGTCAGTGAAATTCTAAGTGTTAGAGTTTTAAGAGTAGAGTGTCTCAGATGTTGTGAGTTGGAGTCCCCAAACTTCCAATTCCTCTCTCCTCTTTTTCCTTCTCCTTTGCATCCCCGTCTTCCCTTTGTCTTAACTTTTAAAGGGCCAGACTCTCTGTACGTCATCAGTTGATAACCCAATAGAAGCACTAGAGGTGTGGTTATCTTCCAGATCGCAATTTAGGTATTTGGTCTATAGAGGGCAGTCTTGTCCCACTAAACATACCTATCCAGGAAAGAGTTAACTTTTCCTGGTGGCTATTTTGACGTCATTTTGGCCTATCTAGATAGTGGCCATAACTTACGTATCCTTCACAGATCAAAGGGTTTCTTTAAGTTTTGTCCAGACTATGTGTCTGGCAAATCTGCTATAATTTCTGATATGGCAGATCATGAACTAAGTTTACCCTTTTCCATACAATGGTACCTTATATATATATAGACAGTAAAATTAAATTATTTAATCTTCTCTGTCACAAATGTCTGGGTTTAGATTTGATCTATTCCATTAGCATTAGACAGTCTGTCCAATCCCCTTTCTGCTTATCACTTGTTTATACTATGCATTCCTTTAGCTCTGGGGAAGTGGTTAGTTTTACAGATAGAAATCTTGTGTCTTTTTGTTAGCTTGAAAATAACAAAATGGAGTCTGGTCTGTTCAGAGTGACTCAGAATATACACTTTTAGTTTCTATGATAGCACAAAATGTCTGCCGATATAAATACCCTGACACTCCCCCTGGTACGTTAAGCTGCTGCTGGGGAGAGGGGGTAACAAGCTCCTCTCCCATACATACTTCAAGCCTCTGGGGAGGGAGACCGACTGTCTCCGCTCCCAATATAGTGTCCTGCTGCTGGGCAAAGGAGACTGGGCTCTCTGTTCTCTGCTGGACACTCTGCCGCTGGGGAGGGAGGACAAGGCTCTCCTCACCCAATAAAACACTCTGCTGCTAGGGGACAGGACCGACTGTCTCTGCCCCCTGTAACTCAGCCTGCCACTGGGGAATGGAGACTGGGCTCCCAATTCCCTGCATATCACACTGCCGCTGGGGAATGGAGACTGGGCTCCCAATTCCCTGCATATCACACTGCCGCTGGGGAATGGCGACTGGGCTCCCAATTCCCTGTACATTGCTCTGCCGCTGGGGACAGGACCAATTCACTCTGCCGCTGGGGGACAGGACCACTGTCTCTGCCCCCTGTAACTCAGCCTGCCGCTGGGGAATGGAGACTGGGCTCCCAATTCCCTGCAATTCACTCTGCCGCTGGGGGACAGGAACAACTGTCTCTGCCCCCTGTAACTTAGCCTGCCGCTGGGAAATGGAGACTGGGCTCCCAATTCCCTGCAATTCACTCTGCTGCTGGGGGACAGGACCGACTGTCTCTGCCCCCTGTAACTCAGCCTGCTACTGGGGAATGTAGACTAGGCTCCCAATTCCCTGCAGGACCAGTGGAGAGACCTCGGTCCCATCTCCACCGGCCACCTGGGGTCCTTCCCAGTAAATCTCCACAATATCTTCCCAGCTGAATGGGTCTGGATCTGGGTCTATCACCTTGCTGTCCTGCTGAGCCTTCCCAATGGAGTGGAAGAGATCTCAGTAGTCCTGCTCCAGTTCGCACTCCAGGGTTGCTAGGTGAGTCAGGTCTTGTCCTACATCATGGGGGTCATCCCAATCATGCCTAGCCTCCCTCTCGTAGAAAATGTCCTGAAGTCTGGACTGTGCAGGGCTCCCGAAGTCAGGCTCTGCAAAGGACTCCCATAACAAGCCAGGACCATCAAACTCCTCTCCCTCTGGCTTGTCATGCTCGGCTGTCAAGGGTATATACTGTGCCATATACCACCAGAGCACCTAGTAGGCATCCTCCAGCCATAGCTCCTGCCATCCCCGGTGGTCTTCACCCATTCCTCCAGGGGCTGCTCTCCCAGGAAGGGCATACGCAGGGCCACTTGCTTCTGCAATCGCTGCTCTTCACTGGGGAGACTCTCACCCCGCTGGTATTGTACATTATCCAGGGCCTGGTACTAGATGCCTTTCCTTAATGCATCCCGGCCATCCAGGTCTTCCTCCTCGTATAACACTGCTGGTTCCATTCTGTTGCTTTTAGGGTCGCTGTACTGGGAGATGCGTTGCCCCCAACTTGTAAATCCACAGAATGGTGTCTCCTTGTAGCTGTCCTTCTGGCTGTAGGAACGATCCCGCTGCTTGCCACCAATTGTTACGCACCCAAGGCATAAGTCTAGTATCAAGTTCCAACTGGTCTGGCCGTGTCCCTGGGACAATGCCCTGCTGGAGAACAATAGACAGGAAATAGGGGAGGAGCACACCTTCTCATGTCTTCAAAGGGGCAGAAATACATGAATAAACCTTTCTGCATAGGAAAATAAAATATTTAAATGCCGGTCCATAGTCAAAAGGCAGCAGGCAGGCAACCAGGCTCGTCACAATAATTTTCAGGATATTTATAAGAAACCTGTTGCTATTTTTGGGAATACATAAAATTGGTATTTTTTGTGGCTTTTTATACTAAATGGTGCACTTGAAGGTTTTGTCAGCATACTTCGGTTCTTGTGTCTCATATCCATCAGCTGTTTTTGAATTGTTAAATGCCGGTCTTTACATAGTTTAATGCTCTGTATATACTTATTCTTTTTTGTACTTCTTAAATTAGATGTGGTCTGTTATTGTGCATGATGAATACATAAAGCATGTTCACAGTAAGTGCAGTAACATATGTAATATACATCAGTACATTACAGGCTGCTTTTGCAGAAATAAAATAAACCATGTGGTGCACTAAACATCCTCAGTACCATTCCTTGAAGAAATGTAAGTTTGACCTACAAACGTTGATATAAAGTGCAAAATAAAACAGGGGGCCAATGCTCTCTGCCCCTCTGCAAAGATGCAGAATGTCAGAAGTTAGCAGTAGCAGAGAAATTAGACTCTCTGCACATTAAAGGATCACTATCGTGTCAGGAACACAAACATGTATTCCTGACCCTATAGTGTTAACACCACCATCTAGTCCCCCCTGTGCCCCTTGTGCCTCCATAAATATAGCAAAATCTTACTGTATTCAAGCCTGAAGCTGTACCTCTGCATGCTGCATGCTGTTTGCCTCACAAAAAAAAAAAACAAGCAGTCTGCTGACATCATCAGAAGTGGTGGTCTGATCCAATCACAGTGCTTCCCCATAGGATTGGCTGAGACTGACAAAGAGGCAGATCAGGGGCAGAGCCAGCATGATTCAAACACAGCCCTGACCAATCAGCATCTCCTCACAGAGATTAATTGAATCAATGAATCTCTATGCGGAAAGTTCAGTGTCTGCATGCAGAGGGAGGAGATACTGAATGTTTGGATGCATTTTAGGCAGCCATGGCCCAGGAAGGATCTCTAACAGCCATCTGATGAGTGGCCAGTGAAGTTATCACTAGGCTGTAATATAAACACTGCATTTTCTCTGAAAAGACAGTGTTTACAGCAAAAAGCCTGAAGGTAATGATTCTACTCACCAGAACAAATTCAATAATCTGTCTGGGCAAGGGGGAACGCAAATGGGGTTAAAACTAAATTTTGTCTTCTATAACTTTTCAATACAAAATTAATCTTTGGGAGGGAAAGGGTTCAACAAAATTACTAGAAGACTTATGAATATATTCTACAAAACATGATGATTCCTAGCAAACTCTTCTTGCAATAATGAAGGCGAACAAACCTTGTGGTGGGTGAAAATTAGTAACAGAACAGAAAACACAACCAACCCAGAGAGATTATAACAATCCAGATTTGTTTTATTCATTGTAGATGTTTTGCGACGTTACATAATTTTTATTATAAATTGCTTATATATGAGAATGATGTATATGCCTTCCAAAACAATAGGGACAGGTGTATACAATAACATAGTCTCACAATATTTTAGAGTGAACATCAAATGCTTTAGTAAATCCTGCTCTGTGTTGGTGCAAACGTTCAGGCGGCATGAATTTAGAAAATATGTATCATGTATTCTGATTTGCTGTTGGATGAAATGAGTCCTAATTCCTAACCTGAAACTTCCCTGTAAAATCTATATGCTTTTAATATTGTGGCAGTTAGATTACAATGTTGATTAATGCTTTTCAACCCTAGATAAATTGTTTAGGGTTCATAGTTTACCTGGCTACCCACAACATTCTCAAGAATTTATAGTGGGGTGGTTTCAGTGACATCTGGTGAAATGCCATTGTGAGAATCTATATTAATAGATTGCCATGAAAAAAATTAAATACATCTCATACCCTTAGTTCAGTATCAAAAATCCCATTGAAGAATAATTCTAAAATGATTTGTTCCAGGGAGCCATTTTAGCTGGTGACTAAATATTAACACCTTGTGGATGATCTATGCCAGTTATGTGTATAATTTATGAGCCCTCTAGAGATCAATGAAAATCTCAGAAAATGTCCACATCCCATTTACTAATTTCAATCTCATCTACCCTTTCCACTTCTTTCATCTCATTCCACCTACATGTGCTTTTTGTCTCCTCAAAACATAACTCCTTTTAGATCTGCTCATCTCCTGCTCTACAGCATCACCCCTCTCTCTCTATCTGATTCAGTTCCCCTCTACTAGAGCTCACTCCATCCTCTAAATTTTAATAATCCATCTTAGTTGTCCATATTTTTTTACATCAGTCTCCCTGTCTCAATCAGTAATTGCTCACTCCTTTACATGTCCTCTTCTCCCAGTTACTATTATTTTTACATCAATAGTCACTTCTCCATCAACTCTAGTCTGATTGTTCCACCTTCTATGCCGTTACCTAGTGCCAGTCTTCCACATCAGTTTCATTTTATCCTTATTGCTTAAACACATCACATCAGTCCATTGCCATGCTTAGTATAGGCATCTTTACATCATGCCATGTAGCATTTTAACATCTGTTCCCTATGACCCATCTCTTCCATACTATCAAATTGAGTTCCTTTTACTCCACATCACTATATCTCTCCTCTGTGCTCTCTTTTTACTTAGGCTGTTGGTGATCACACAAAGCCATTTAGCATGTAACATTTCATTTTAATTGCTACACTGCTTTATAAATGCAGGTATCACTGACTAAGGGGAACACGAGACGTGCATGAGTCATTAGAGCCAAGGGGCACATATGGTGTAAATGGTACCATCACTGGTAAAAGGCCACATGAGATACATATTGCAGGCAACAATTGAGCCATTGGGTGAGTAGGTTCAAATTAATCTGCACTCAACTTGCAGCTTGGTTCCACCTAACTATATTCATTTGACTGAGCATATAGTTAGACCAACCATATATTATGCACTCCTCCAATCATGATACAAGTTTGAATAGTGTTGCATATACCTGTCCCTTTTATTTTGGAGCAGCATTTTATAACATGTTTATATATTTATGTCACAGAGCTCTATGCACATTTCCAGACAGCCAAAAGCATTTAATGTAGTGCATTTATAAATGTGCAGCGTCAAAGCCTATGCAACAATACTGAGAGGGCTTTAGTATCAGTGCAAAGGCAGCTGTGGATGTATATCCACTACGGGGTCCTCTCTCACCATGTCACTATCTAAATTCCGGTAGTGAAGATGTAAACTGTATTCAGATGGACAGATCAAAATGAAGAAAAAAAATTGGACCAGTGCAGTTCTAAAAACGAAATTCTGACCGATACAATCTTAGTTCAGAATCTTTCTGGAGGCACACAGATGTGATTTATGATAGATTATTCGCACAAAGGAAGCTAGCTGTAATCTAGAAACAAAATCCTGCTATTATCAGTTTTATTTTATCCTGTGTTTCTTTTAGCAATCACCTTCCACTTTTACCTTCATTTTCTTTAATATTTTCTTCTGTATCGGTATAAAGATTGTTACTTATCACGTTCCATCTTCCAACAAGCCTTAAATCATAGTTTGCAACACAAGTCTCAGTTAAAAACATGATTACAAATTGATATAATTTGCTAGGTGCAATTAAGGAGTGCTCATGAAAATGTAAAATATTTTTTTCAAGAATCATTTTAGAAAAGGCGCTTCAGTTCACTGACAGAAAATAAAATGTCAACATATCATTGGAATAAGGTGATAATCAAATTTATTGTCAGTGGTTTCATAAGCTTCTGTTGAGTCTTACTCATTGAAGTCATAGTTGTTCAAGTCAAATTTTGGTTGCTTCCCAATATTTATGAATTCCAAATATTGGTCATCCTGACTTGGCAGTAATAGTTGTGGGTCACTCATTATATGTGAGTTATTTATAAGAAATACAGCTCAAAAGCTGGGTTTAAAGGTGCAGTTATGGTGTGTATGTAAAAGATTGATTTGTAGGTAGGCTATCCCTCTTAAGCCTCATGCTCCCATACCATCCTCTGGGTGAAAAAGCATAGCTCCGGAATCCTGGAGACTTTGCTCCAGAATCTTCTGACTCCAGGGATATGTCTGAACCTGTTGGTGAACGTCTTGCCCTAGGTGTTTCAGGAAGAGGGCTTCCATTGCCAACACTCCAAATTCCACCACTCGGAGTGGGGGACTGTGGACTTGTCACACCCCATGGTGATGTGCTCTTACGCTTTGCTGCATTGATGATATTACGGGCAATTAAAGCTTTCATTTGGCTTCCAGACTTGAGGTCATTCTCTACTTTAAAAGGAGAAGGTGACCGGTCACTCCATGCTGGTGACATTGAACGAAAGGGTGGAGGGCTCTGAATTCCAGATACTTCCTCATACACAGGCTTAAATGACAAAGCTGAATTTCCCCAGCCATCAAGAGATCCTCTGTGCCGTAAAACCCTTTGGTTAGGAGATTTCTGTAGATAAAAAAACAATATATATATATATTACAGTACTTACAAAGTGTAGCTTAACGTATAATAAACATATATGTATGAAGAAAGTTATCATAATACATAAACAAATACACTAGATAGAACATTGTTTTCCAACCCATTCCTCAAAGGCACACCTGCAGTCCAGGTTTTGACAGTATCTCATTCGGAACAGAATTAAAAAATGCCTATATTTCAGACTGTTGGTATGCATTATCTACTGGCTTTAGAACCATTGCACTAAAGGACATTTCATTAAATAACTTTAAGGTGGTTAATGAAAGATGACACATTTCAATTTGCAAGGGTGGTTGATAATCCCTTAATTATATTCCTGATTATAAACATTGTAATATACTGTTTGTTTCTTTTCCACATTGGGGATTGTCATCTTCACTTGTATTCTGTGCAGAGTCACTGTCTGACTCTCCATACAATATTCCACAGCTACAACCACAACTCTAACTAGGTATATTTATAAAACTATATGCACCACTTACATTGTAATTTTGTACTATATAAAAATTCATCAATGAAAAGAAATTAGCAACAAAAAAAAAAAAAGACTATGTATAAACACATCCAGACACTCTTGGAATTATGTTAAAGGGACACTATAGTAACCTGAACAACTTTAGCATAATTAAGCAGTTTTGGTGTATAGAACATGCCCCTACAGCCTCACTGCTCAATCCTCTGCCATTTAGGAGTTAAATCCCTTTGTTTATGAACCCTAGTCACACCTCCCTGCATGTGACTTGCACAGCCTTCCATAAACACTTCCTTTAAAGAGAGCCCTATTTAGGCTTTCTTTATTGCAAGTTCTGTTTAATTATTATCCCCTGCTATGTTAATAGCTTGCTAGACCCTGCAAGAGCCTCCTGTATGTGATTCAAGTTCAATTTAGAGATTGAGATACAATTATTTAAGGTAAATTACATCTGTTTGAAAGTGAAACCAGTTTTTTTTCATGCAGGCTCTGTCAATCATAGCCAGGGGAGGTGTGGCTAGGGCTGCATCAACAGAAACAAAGTGATTTAACTCCTAAATGACAGTGAATTGAGCAGTGAAATTGCAGGGGAATGATCTATACAATTTAGGTGACTATAGTGTTCCTTTAAAGGATAAAATTAAGCTTATTTTTATTATTTGCAGGAAAGTAGTACTTTAGCTTCATTAGTTCTAAATTTAGATACCTAGTTTGGTACTGAAGATTCCCAGTGTCTAACCCCAATCAAGTTATAAAAGTGAGGAAACCAATTACCACTCAGACACAAACTTTAAAACTAGTGATGTCGCGAACCGTTCGCGAACTTCCCGCGAACAGCTCATCGCGGTTCGCTGCGAGCTCCAGTCAGCTGACACATCCCGGCCAATCTCCAGCAGACCCTCCCTCCCAGACCCTCCCACCTCCTGGACAGCATCCATGTTGAAGTTCGCGAACGGTTCGCGACATCACTATTTAAAACTTGACACATTTTGAAATTTTGTGTGACTGCCATCCAGTGTCTCCACCCTCTGCACGGAGACACTGAACTTTCCTCATAGAGATACATTGATTCAATGCATATCTATGAGGAGATGCTGATTGGCCAGGGCTGTGTTTGGCTTGTACTGGCTCTGCCCCTGATTTGCCTCCCTGATAGTCTCAGCCAATCCAATGTTTTCCTTTGTGAAAGCATTGTGATTGGTGCAGAACACCGCTTCTAATGATACCAGCCAAGCAGGCAGATCAGGGCTCAGAGCCAGCAGAGGCACACTGCAATAGAGGTAAGAGTTTGCAATATTTAGGAGGGCAAATGGCCCAGGGGGGCTAGATGGTGTTTTTAACACAAAAGGGTCAGGAATACATTTGTAATCCTTTAAAGTTTTAAAGTAAGGACAACTTTGTCTCAGTATTTCGCTTGACAAAATGAGGAGTTACCTTTTGTCAAGCTTGTCATTTCCCTCGGCTGTCTCCAGTGACGGCTGTAGCAGAAAAAAGCCATCTCTATGGAGGATCTCTTTGGATCCTCCATAGACTCCAGTACTGTACTTGTGCGCATGTGCGAGAGTACTGCGCTGATGTCGGCTCCTGTCAGTTGAAGTGTCAAGAGCTGAGGAGGTTGCAGCAGAAAAGATGGCAGTGCCCACGAGGTACAGGTTAAGGTCATAAATCTCCCCTTTCCCTGCCCCCCATCCACCCAGCAGTGATATCATATATCACATTATGCACCTCAGACTGTTGAATTATACATTTTGCTTCTGGCCATAGTGTAATACACTTTACCTCTGAAAGGCGATACACAGTTATTATTACATAATGTATACACTGCAAATCGTCATGGCATAATATGATTGTGATTGTGAAAATTGTTTTGCTATATCCTCTATTAATTATGTATTGTGTGTGATATGAGGTTACTTAGTCATTGTGCCAACATTTTAGGAAATGAATACCAGCTATTGTTCTATATAATTATTAATGATCATATTTCTTTTTTATTTTATCAGCCCATTATTAAAAAATACAGGCCTGGTGGCACCCCTTCTTTCCTAAAACAAAGCAACTTGGACAGTATAAAAAGTATGGCGTTTCATACAGTCTGCGTTTCATACAGTCTGTTTTTTTAATCATTGGGATACATCACGAGAACTCAGATTTAGGCAGTAAAGGAACAAGAACTGCTAAATTTCTTAAATAAAGAGAAAAATCCAAAATACTGTCATGAGTCATTTGTTCTTCCCTTACAGAAGTAAAACCACCAAGTGATATTAACTCTTTTTGTGTCAGAAAGTATTGTTAAAGCCACAGACAGTGCTAACAAGTCTTTAAGTGTCTGTCTCTCTGACTGTAATCTGTCAATATAAACTATTGTATGCTAAGTATCAGAGTTAATGTACATAAACTGAAAGCAGGGACCTACTGCCCTCTAGTGGTTATGTTTTCGCCTTATGCAGAATCTAAGACATGGTCTCCATTTAATGCATGTTTGCGTGACACAAGGAAGTAACTTAATAAAAAAAAGCGGTGAGGATTGTAAATTGAAGGGTGATAAAGCCACATTATATAGCTGTGATAACTTTACAAATTATGGTTCAAAGTATAAACTGAATATGCATTGTTATCTATTGGGGTAAAGGTTTAGAAAATCACTGCTTAAAACGTGCAAAATCGTGTAACAAAACAAGTGTTTGATAGAGGTTTCTCCCTCAACTTCTATTTCATATTAAAAACCGCAATGCAAGGAGTGACTGTCACTGTGTGTTGCAGGTAACCACAGGAAATGCAAGACCCACTCAGTCTACACACGTTTTAAAATGCCGCCTGATTACCATCTTTCAAACATTGCTTGTTGAGTCTCAGGAGGACTGCTGATTTGTTGTGTGAGAGTTTCCCTGGTATATAGCAGGTTCTAGCCGTGCTGTTTGTTTGTTAAAGCAGCTCTGTCACCTTCTGGGGTTTTAACATAGTTTAAAAAGACCCTGGATGGAGGTGCAGACCACACACTCTCTCTCTAACAGGGGTGTAGGGCCAAATAGGGAGACCTGGTACTCCAGGTGCTGGCACTTAAAGGGATTCTATAGTGTTAGGAATACAAATCTGCATTCCAAACACTGGTGTGTGCCCCCACTACTCCCTCACCCCCAGCTCAGAAAAGGTTAAAAACCCTTTATTTACTCACCCGAACCAGCGTGCTCCGCCTCCTCCGACATCATCCAACGGATGGACCTATAGGAATCAGTGCTTTCCTATGAGGATTTCACTGACATTGGATGTCCTCATGCAGAGCGTTAGGTGACCCAGAGTTTGGTAAACTCCCAGAAGTACCTCTGGTAGACAGTCACCAGAGGCTCTCTTAGTACTGCAATATAAACATTGCAGTTTTTCAAAAAGTGCAATGTTTTACATTGCACGACTAAGGGGGACAGAGACACTGCACTCAGACTACTTCAATGAGCTGAAGTGGTCTGGGTACCTATAGTGAACCTTTAAAGAGAAAGCATTAAATCATGGTCTTAGTCCTAAATACAGGACATTTTGGAAAAGTCTTGGTTGCAAATGGGTCAAAGCACTTCAAGGTATAACGGCTAAAATACTTAGTATGGATATCATTAAAATAACTTATTACGGTAGCTCTGTACATTTACAGAAAATATTTTTCCACCCACTTTTCTTTTTGTGATGCTCAGTTGCTAATTATGGGAATGTCAGCTGTGGAAATGAGGAAGATTATGTAATGCTCATATAACAATGCAATGCTCTCATACATAAACATTTAATATAATGTTCCACCCTCCCAAGTGAACTACAGAGACATGAGATTTCCTTATTAAGCCTGACATTTCATATATCAACTAGCAACGTTCAGTTGAGATGTGATTGAGTTGTATAATGTAAAAATACATGTATGTGCACATGTGTATATATGACCAATTAGTCATTATTTGAGATACTATTTTTGTTTAAAGAACGATAACGCTTCATCTACCATAGTTCAATAAACAGCCCTTAAATAGGGAAAATATTCTATTTAACAAGTATTGCTAAATATATTTTAATTATATAATGATTGAATGATGAATGCAAGTTCTATTTTTTCAGAGGAAAATTGACAGGTTTATTCACTAAAGTCCGAATGGACACATATCAAATGGGACAAAATCGTCCATCTGCATATAAGGCTTCACACGGGTCAAACTGTATCTGGATTTTGCAATTAAGGCAGCAAATGGGCCTGAGTTTGTTCATGATTTCAGCCAAACCAAAAGCTGCCAGACTACAGAATTATGGACCTAAATGCTTCAAATAAAAAAAATCCAAATTATTTCCCTCAAGCAGCACTGGTAGCTTGCAGACAAACAGTGAAATAACCATATATAGGACATTTAAAAAGTTTTAAAAAAAAAAGTAAGATCAAAAACCCTGTTGACCCCAATATTACTATAAGACTTTAGCTATAGCCCCCACCTGCAGACATTTGGTGGAGGTAGACACTAAATTTACCCACCTTACCCGCTGCTAATGGATTTATAGACTTATATACTGTTGTATTATAATCGTCCCCATCCGCTACCCCATGGGTGAGGGCTGGTGAGGATACATTGTCCCCCCCCCCTATAATTTAATAGACTCCACCCACTTATCAAGAATGGGGGCACCTAAAAGGTAGGAAACAGGAGGGTGACTAAACCATGTGTTTGTATGTATGTGTTTGTATGTATGTGTGTCTGTATGAATGTTTCTCTGTATGTGGGTTTGTATGTCTTTGTGTCTGTCTGTGTATCTGTGTGTGTGTGTGTTTGTATGTGTGTGTGTATGTTTGTCTCTGTGTGTGTGTATGTTTGTGTTTGTATGTATTTGTGTCTGTGTGTCTGTATATGTTTGTGTGTATGTATGTGTATATATATATATATATGTATATATATATATATATATATAAAGAATGTAATTGCAAATTTAAAAGAGTAGTAATGTTTCTGCTTCAATGTTACCTACCAAATAGAAGGCTCATTGGAACCAAAATATTGCCAGTTCTTTGATTTAGTAAAGTCTTTCTGCAGTACTGCCTCTCCCTATTTTTTGTAATAGAATGTTCTAAGTGACATCTCCAGGCTGTGTGGTACTATTTGCCAGCAGTTTCCTGGAATAACGAGATCTAATTTAAAAAAAAAAAATTTTTAATTCACAATTCATTGTGAATTTAAACAGCGTGAATCTGCTTTAATATTGCTCATACGTCCTGTTAATGCAGTGGGAGGTAACAAAATAAAGATTTTTGGTGTTACAAGAAATATATGCACACTTCCACTTTTGACCTATGACAATGGAATCTATTAATTTATTTCCCTTTTCGTGGCTTCCTTGGATACGTTTATATCCACTAACATACATGTGAATAGATTTGGTTAATACATAATGACACAGAACAATTATTATAATGCTAAAGTTAACACCTTTGTCTTTCTTGGATATGAGTCAGAGAAAAATTCAGCTTTAGGTTTTGTACACTAGCATATTTTTAATTCATAGTTAAAAGCCAACTGCTCAGATGTGTCTGACTACATCCACTAACCCACATTATAAGTGTGTAGATTGAAAAGTAAATAGCTCTATTTTTCAGTTTCCCAAGGTACAGAGTTGAGATGCTCATGCCTTTCTAGAATAGGATGGATCACTCTTTTCATGAACACAAAATCTAGGTATGATGTCACATATTAAAAAATACTAGGTAATGAAGGCAATCTGATCCACAGTTGGTGGAATTGCGCCCCAATAAATCAATACTGGAAGAATGTAGTGAAGGTAATCAATCAAATAACCGGAAGAAAAATGAGTTTTAAACTGGAAGTATTTCTACTAAACTTAGGATGGCCCAAAATGCCAAAAAAAGAACAAATGGTAACAATACATATCATTTCGGCTGCTAAACTCTTATTAGCACGTAATTGGAAAACAGTGACAATTCCACACATCCAAGAATTAATAACTCAAGTGATATGGCAAGCGAAAACGGAAAGGGGTATATTAACGAACTTGGGAAACAGATATACCCAGATAGAAGACTGGGATATATGGATCAATAAACTAGAATCCATAACCCAAGAAATGGTATAATAAAGTTAAAAACTTAAAGGGACCCCAAAGATCCCATGTAACGGGCAAATAATATAAGATAGAATAATAAACAATATGACATCACACAGAATAGGTTGTTTTCTCTCTCCAAAAAAAAAAATAGGAAGACAAAACAGATAAATAATGCAGAAGCCAGAACAGGAAGTTAGAAAGGTAGGGGTGGGGGGAGGGGAGGGAATAACTAGAGTTTCTGCACTTATCTTCCCTGGTGCCTTTTAACTTATTTAATAAATTCATCAACAAGGAAAGGAATATATGAATACAGATAAAAGAAATAGATGGGGAGGAAATATTAATGATGACAAGATACCGAGGCTAAAAGTTAGAAGCACCAGATGAACCACATAAGCCAGGTATACGTCTGAAATATATATATAAAAAAATACTAGGTAATCTTAAAATATTTAGTTTTTGCCTCTAACATGTGAATAATGTGAGGGGAGGACAATCAAGGCAAAATCAGCTGCTATTCTGGGGAAAAGTGATAAATAAAGAGCAATCGCAATAGTAACCAATAGGATGTCTCTCATCATTTACCACTTTGAATCTTAGAGCTAATGTAAGGTCCTTTTATTATTATTATTAATAATTATAAAGTGCCAAGATATTCCACAGCGCTTTACAAATAAAGTTAGGGCATATTTAGAGGTAAAGAAGGCCCTGCTCAAACAAGCATTCAATTAATGAGGTGGATATATTGTTAGGTGTCTTGCCCAAAGACACTTACTGGTGAGGTGGTCAGACCACGAGTGGAAGCTTAGCTTTCGTGGTTCTAAGGCAGCGATGTTACCACTCTTCTAACCAGCCATATGGTTAAATACATCTATGGATGTTTCAGTCTTATATGAGGACTTGTTTTAGACTTAACATAGCTATATCTGTACTGGTTAAATATGCCTAAATATGTGGAGGAGAGAGGGAGTCTGATCATTGTGTGATCATCCAGAGAGCAGGTTCCGTGGTAGGGATTCTCTTTCCTACCACTGCGCAATAATGCCCTGTTTCTGTCATTGGTGAACTGCTCTGAACCTAAGAAGGGTGGGTAAGGGGGAGTTAGGTGGGTTGAAGACTCTACACTAGCTGAGAAGTGTGTCCAACAATGCAATCTAGCCAAGTTTATAAACATTTATTACACACTTTTCAAAGATTTTCTTGGTTTATTTAGTTTGTATATTTGTTTAAAATGATTTGCTGTCTGGTTTAAAAAAACAATTGACACATGATGCATGTCCCTTGAAAATATATTTGTAATCTAGTATTGTGAAAAGTCTGTGTTACCCTTCACGGGGTGGGAAAGATACAGATAATACATTATTAAAATGATTATATGGCATGTAAACACTGTGGGTTTAGTGAACGTAAATTTAGCACCCTGTCAATCTTCTTCCTCACAGACTAACTGTCCTGTCAAGGACCAAACTGTGCTAGGGTTATAGGATATTTCTAGACAATATTGTCTATCACTAAATGATATGCATTGTTGATGCTTTACTATTGGTCTCTTAGAGAAATCATCTTGAGTTTGCTGTCTGTCTGCTAAACATCTGAAGTTAGAATGCAGGAGAAGAGATTTCACTTTGCCAGCATAAAACTGCCTTGTAACTTATTAACTTTTTTTTTTTTTAGTTGATACAGAAAGTTCTATCAAAAGAAAAACAAAAAACTAAACTAAAATAGCATACATAAGGACGATTTAATTATCATCCAGAATATTAAAATATGAATTACAATGTAAATATACTAACCATTCTTGGGAATAATGACAAGTAATACAATGGTCATTTTTAAAATGAGCACTCTGTTAACCATGAGAGGCCTGGTATGTCCTTCCCTTCTTTTTGCTACCTCATGTAGGTTTGTTTGTGTGTGTTTGGGGGGGGGGGGTAGAGGGAGAAGCAAGGGGTGATTCACATTTTTTTTGTATAGGTATAAGCAGCTTTAAATAGTTGTTTGGTGTGTGGTATTCTCTCACTTGTGTTGTCTGTCTTAAGGCTGGGGATTTAGCCTGTCGGGGTTGGGGACAGATACGTAACATTGTGTTCCTAATACATTTTTTGTGCACTGCATACCAAGAGCAGGAATGCTGTAAGCCTTGTGCCTTCATCACAAAAGAAAAAATACAGGTGCTTTTAAGAGAAAAGACCTTGTGAAACTGTATAGGATATTATTGAAAAAAAAATAAGCATAAAGGAGTATGAAACTATTCTGTAAGAAAGGTGATGCTTGGTAGAAGACACACTTGATCTGAAGCTAATGCGTGACTTGCATTTTTTTATGGCAGGTAAAGTAATATCCTCATCTCTCTGTTTGCTGTACAGTGTCAACAAACAGAGGCAATAGAGTGCATAGAGACACAAAGAGGGGCTGTGGAAGTAAGAGACACAAAGAGGCGCTGGGGAAGTAAGGGACACTTAAATGGTAAATGATAACCTTGTTATATAAATTTTTCACGAAATTGGTTGAATTTAATTCATTTGTCAGATTTAACAAGTAGTATCAAAATAATGTGTGCATTTGCCAAAACAAGAATCCATCCCCTGCTTGGAACCACAACCATCTGCCTGTCTACTTAAGTCACAGTGTAAGAGCAGCATGTGTTGGAGATATCTATTAGCAGATCTTGAATTTTGTTTTTGAACCTCTTGACTGTGTGCCAAGAACATTCACATTCATTCTAATTTGTCTCATTGTGTCTGGTCTGATGTAAGCTTGAAATGGAATATAATGGGAAGATTTGTGAGCCCCACATTAAATACTACTCCTTGAGAACCCTAATTTGGTGTATGTCTATCTACTATTTTAAAATAATGTTGTTTTTTTTTACTCAAAATACTGATTTTAGGGTAGATCACATGAAAGTGAAGCTCAAAAGAACTTTCTTGCCAAAAAACAGACACTGACTACAAATTATGTCTATAAAATGCAAACTTTACGCCAAATATTATGGATGGAAAATAGCTAAGTGTTCATGCTTTGTCCAAGTTAGACGGCCAGCACAATGAACAAATACATTTGTATTATTTTAGGGAATAAGAATTTGGGTGAAAAACAAGTTTGTAATCAGCATTTTAACTTTTTCCAAACTGTTAGGTAAACAAATGTATATCTACCCTCCTGACACATCACTGATTGTATTATTCATGTACATGTACAGAGCAACACGGACTATAAAATAAAATAATGCTTCAAATCTGTGACAATTCTTATAAACTCAAACTGACATATTTTGCATCTATTTGGTTTGCATTGTGTAATTTATTGCCTTCTCACTGCATTCAAATCTACAGAAAAATATTATATAAATTAAAAAAACATGGACAATGGCTATTTGTTTCCTATCTGGTATATTAGAGATTATCCAGTAAAGTCTAGGAAGAAAAATCAGCTACAGAAGCTGGTAGGGGTGGGCAACTTTGGGGTCGCAGAGAGGTAAGAAATAGTTATTTCTACAACTCACTTTTCATTTCCAGAGGAAAAGCAGTTCCTCGTAATTAACTTCCAAACCCCGAGACTCCAGGAAAAACTGGGTAAATTCCATTTTATAAGATTTTCCCTACCTTCAGTAGAGGTTTTGCTACTATCTCTGCATCAATGCTGCAAGGAGCCTGTAAAGCGTTATAGGAACACTGTACTCACTCATGTAAATGAATTTGTTATAATATCCGCTCCACTTAATAGCCACAAATGTCATATTTAACTAATCAGAAGTCTTGGAAGTGCATCTTCAAGCCACGCCTCCAAGTCCGCCATGTATGGGAGCCAAGACTCTTACTGCCTGACTCTCATACCCTGCCATACCGGGACTGTGCGTGCACATGTGCAGTGCCATCATGGTCTTCTATCGAGAATCATTGCATGGCAGAATCATAGGTACAAGGTGAGGAGAATTGGATTGGACCCTCACCTTGGAGGCACGCCTCAAGGATGACGTCATGCTAAGAAAAGGCCACAGCAGCTGGAGAGAAGGTCAGTAAATAATTTATTTTTGTTTCAATTAGTTTATTTTCATTTCTAAATTGCGGACGAGGGTGAGGTGGGGAGCTAACAATAACTAAAAGCATTAATACTGTAGCGTTAGGAATACAGAAATACAGACATGTATTCCTTATACTACAGTGTCCCTTTAAAAAAAAATGGTTTTATATGAAAGAGTACAGAGTCCAGTTTAGATAAATACATATTATTGTTCTATGTCCTCTCTGTTATGCATTTTCATGTTGAAACAAGCCCCATATAATTCACAAAGCAATTAGTGGAAGCTGCAGAATGAAGAAAAGGCCTAAATGAACAATTTGAGAGAGCAAAGGAGAGTGCAAGAGAATACTGGAACCAGAAAATTCAAATAGCTAGCCATTTAGTGGGGCCCTGCTCTCATTTTAGCACATATTGTGCCATAACAGAGAGAAACATATCATGTTTGTTCATATGTTTATCTTAGAAAGACCCTAGGCAATTTGCAAACAATATTATTGAAATCATTGTGTTTCTAGTGTTTCAATAATCAGATTGCATATAGTTTTATATCACGACCAGTGACCATAAAAATTGACAAATAAATATTTAAAATTAAATTTCCCTAGAACCTATAATATTATCATAAAACTTTTATTTCAAAAACTAAATGTTCTCTAGCATTTTAAAAAACAAAAAAGCCCAAACAAATAAACAAAACAATGGCCAGTCAAGTATTACTTGGATTTAACATGGCTTTGAACAACTTTTTGTCCCCCTGACACAAAAAATAATGTTGCTGTGGTCTAAAACTATCAAGCTACAAGGCACTCAATGCAAAGCAGTACAACTGGGTTTATGACCTCTTTAAATTATTAGCAAGTTTGGTATCTTGTTTAATTGATTTTTTTAATTTCCTACCTGTGCTCACATGAGAAAATCGCACATTGTTGCCTATTGGTGAGTGTCTTAAATCTTTCTATAACAGAACCAATACATTATCCTAAGTAAAATTATGTTATTAAGTATAGCTAGAGAGTTGAGTAAAGTGACTTGAGATGAATTTGGCAGTTTTGGTGAAATTTGAGCTATGTGGATCATGACTTTATTTTGAAAGAAATACTACAGATGTGTATGAAAATTTTAATTAGAGGGATAAGTAAATAAAGACCCAGAAAAGGAGGCAAAAAGAATATTATACACAAGAAAACCAGAGCTGTTTTTTTTTTTTTTTTCAAAGTACACACAGTTTGTGCAAAAGAGATAAAGGAAGGACAAAATTAGTCAAAAGTACATGAAAGGTTTGTGCAAGATTGGAAGAATAAGAAAAGACTTGATACAGCAAGAGATTCCAAGAGTACAGAGCAGGAGAGTGAAGAGAGTCTTGACATCACAGAAATGCTTTTCTGAGGACATATTTGGTATTATCAATGTGCAATGTTCTATATTCCTTAAGAAGAAGACAATCATTTAGAAGGGGTAGTTCAGCCCCTTCCTCTATAATCACTATAACAATTATATAACACCAGTTGTCAACCATCTCAATTGAGACTTTTGCAGCTGGATTGGCAACAACATTACTTGTAATATGGAGAAGGCTTCCACACCTGAGATTCCAAGCCGGCGTTTCTGGCAGAGAATGATGGCCGTGGAGCTTGTATTACAGTTTTGGTTCTTGAAGGTGGCACACCTGTATATGTGAAAGGAACAGGAGAAGCTGGAGATATCTGACTGGTTGGGGTCTGTCTTCCAACACTAGTGGGAGAAGGTGAAGGATTAGTAGTAGGAGATCTCATTGAATGAAGATGAGAAGGAGAATAAATGGTGGGAGAGGAAATCACAGGGGAGGTTGGACATGATGATTGTCTTTTAAAGTGTTGATACTCCATTACCATGGGTTTGGGGGGTGGAGCTGCTTTTGGAAGAGAACTCAAAGGATCTTTGGTTGGGGAAAGTATGAAGAGTGAAGACTGAAGTTGATATGGTTGCCGTTTGGAAATTTCCAGCTCTTTCTGTGACTGAACACTTTCTGAAGAAGTATTCATATGTGGTGTAGTAGAGCAAGGCTTAGGTGATCTTTGGTTGATTTTGACTTGATGAACAATTTGTTTAGGAGAAGACTGGGCATTAGAGGCATAAGTCCAGGAGGGTGGCAATGACATGGTAGGGGAAGGAGATCTGACATCATATGGTGATGGAGACTCAATCACAAACCGTTCCATTCTGGATTGCCTCCTGGCAAACAATTCTGCCCCTTTTCCTTTAGCCTCTGTCAGAGTTTGTACAGGTGCAGGAGGGGGTTTTAATTTATAATCTGGGGATTTCAGGCAAGTTACCCATTCGGGTGCCTTATGAGTTTGGCCTGCATCAACTTTGGCTTTCACAGTTTTATTATTCTGGAAATTGGAAGCCTCTGCTCCAAGGGCAAAGGGTTCCTCCTCAGTAGGTACATCAACATGATCTTTGTTCTTCCGCCTCTCATCTGCAGTTTGCACCATAGACAACAGATCTGGATTTGGTGTCATTTTTGGCTTTTCAATAAATGTGAACATGGATTTCTTAGTTCCTCTGCGTGCTCCTATATCTTCTAAAATACCTGTCTTTGGTTGTGGTGTAAGTCTAGGTTCACTATCATTAGCTACAGGCAACACAGGTTTAAAATGTTCTGTGTTTCTATCTGTTGGATATAAAGCAGAATAGGCAGGAGGTGATATGATGCGGGTCACTGGAGGAGGACTTGATAATGTCTCAGCATAAGTAGGTGGAGGAGGGAGGTCTATTACAGGTGACATTTCCGAAGAAGGCAGAATCTTCTTTGCTGATGACTGTGTTCCAAATGGCTTAGCTGTTCTGTTACTCACAGATATTGGTTTAGATAAAGTGAGATGAACTTCACAGTATTGTTTGTTCTGTGTACCATTCTGCATGACCTCTTCATTTTTCAGAATGGATCCTGACTCTATATTTGTTTGATCATCAAAACCATTACTTGATGACAACACCAAAGTTTCTTTTAGATGGGTACTCAGAGGGACTTGATGGTCTTCTTCTGATGCACTTGGCGAAGGTGCTCTATTATCTATGGGAGGGAATTCCATCCCTTTCAGATCAACACCCCATTTGTTTTCTGACTCCCCTTCATATCCAGTATCAGATGATGTTTCTTCCATGTTGTTTGCAGATGTTTTTTGTCCAGAGCCTACTCCAGGCTTTGTTCTTACAGCATGTGAAATCTGTAGACCATGTTGTGAACTTTGTGCCACTGGAATGCTGTGTCTCTGTTGTGTGTCTAATGACTCAGAACGTTTTGCAATTTTTTGTTGTTCTAGTGCTTTCAGTTTCTGACGCCGGCGATGAAAGAGCAGGGCTCCCCGAGAGCAACTCCCCTGAGTAGGGCTCAGCTGGGTAGCATCGTTGTCACTAATACTCTGTGCTTCCTTTAGCTCTTTCTCTGTCAGACTAACAGTTCTTATAAAATCTGTAATAAAACATAGAAACCTTTTATTAGAAAAACAAAAATAAAAAATTAAATGAGCACAATAACTTATTTATCATGAACTTGTGCATTCTAGTGGTTGTTAATGCTTAGGCCGAGACCCAAACTTGCAACCTAATGCAGGGGGTCCCCAATGGTTGGAACAGGTATATCATATTCATAAGGCAGCAAGAATAAACAAACAATATATGATTTGCTGTATCAACTGCATAAAAACAAAAAAGCTGTGTTGGTTGTGGTGCTTAGAGTGTCCTATAGAAGGACTGCTGTGATGTTTTATTATTTGTATTTGCATCAGAAAACCATCAACAGCAAAATGAACTAGGTTTATTTTCTAGATACCAGCGTGTAGTCAACTGAAAATATAACTTTGAATCGATTATATAGCAACCTCTTCAACTCAACAAAAGCACAGCTTTGCTGTTTTAACCTGCATTTTTATATTTAGTATTTTAGTGACCTCTAAGAGGCAAACCAATTACGTTTAGGAGGTTCCATTAGCTCTCCTGAGATAAGCTAATCAAGGAATAGCTCATTGGCTGAGAGTGCTGATCTCCTGGGCTCCATCATTTCTGCATATTGATTGGCAGCACATGAAAATGCTGCCCTGTATTATAGATATTGTATTTGATGCAAGATTCCTGATTTATTACCTGATTTGCTGCCTGCAGAATTTGACTTCTACATACTGCAGGGCAGCATTTACTGTATGTTTTATAAATTAAATGGGACCTGGAAAATATGGTGTATATGGTATCCCTAACCATAACCAGTACAGTGCACTAAAGCGGGTATGCTCCTTGGAGTGTTCCTTTCATGACAGAAGTGAGACATGAGAGAGGTCAAGCAAGCCAAATGGATATGGTTCCCAACCTGGAAAGGTTCCACATAAAGTTAATTAAAGGGTTACTCCAACCATAATACACTGTGCTGGTGTCAGACGCCAAATATACACAGAATTTATATTAGCCAGAGAACTAAAAGTTGAATAATGGTGCCACAATCACACTACCGGAGGTGGAGTTAAGCGCTGTAGCAGAGGGGTAAAGCTCTGTATGTACAGTATTTAATAGTGAAACGCTGCACATACAGACACTGAACATTTCGGTCATAAAGTGGTCATGGTGCTTGTAGTAACCCTTAACCTTAAAGATTTGTAAAACGAAAGGACACATTATGTTCACAGTCTTAAATGTGCTTTACTGTTTGTTTTAATTGTTTTATGTATGAGAGACCTTGAGCGTTCAGACTGTTTTATAGACATAGATAAAACCAGATAAAATAATAATTCTGAGAGCAGTTTATTTGTTGCATAGGTCCAAATAAATATTTCAAACAGATAGCCAGGCATGCAGTCATAGGTTGCTCTAAACAGCCATTCATTTTATTTTGGAAGTGCTTTTTTGTTTTAAAGGGCCAGTGACACTTTAATGTGGATAGCTTATTGAAAGTCAATTGTATAATAAAGCCTGTGAAAATTTAAATATGATTCAAACTTCATACCCATCCAGCCCTCGTCCAAACTAAGAAAATAAAAACCACAAATAAACATGACAAAAAAACTAGACTACATACAATAAAAAGTTTTTGTATACAGACACAAATATATATAGAGTATGCGCCTGTTTTTGTGTGAGGATATGCATGTGTCTTTTTGGGTAACAGATAATTGCAGTGTTTGTTTTGAATGGTGTGGGTAGCGGTCTGTGTAATAATGTGTGTAACAGTGTGGGTTGCAGCATGTATAGTAGTTTGTGCAAGGCCAGCACAAGACATTGTGCTTCCTGGGTCTAAGGTTGAAATGCTGCTTCTCCCAAAAAAAAACACCCACATACACAGACACACACATTCTAAATGATTTGACACACTCTTTCTGACAAACGCACACTCACTGACAGACAGACACTCTCACTGACAAACACACACTCACTGACAGACAGGCACTCTCACTGACAGCCACACACACACACTCTCTCACAGACACACACAGACACGCTCACTGACAGCCACACACACTCACTGACACACTCTCACTGATTTGACACACACATGTATCCATTCTCTGTACACAATGTGCCATCCTCACACATATAACACTGATATACTGCTATTGTACCGATTCTCTATATATTGAACACCATCTGTTTAATAGTGTGTGTAACAGTGTGGATAGCAGCATGTATAGTATTGTGCACTAGGACCATGCATTAATTGTTTTATCAGTGCCCCATTAATGGTCTACTTGAGGGGGCAAATTGTCAGTCAGCCTGGCCATGACCACCTTTTTGGCGGCAGACCCAATCCCTTTGATGTGAAGATCTTACTCCTTTCTGGCAGATTCACACCTTTTGATGCATTGACCCATTGAAAATATTGGCAAGTATTATATTGTTCAAAAAGTGTTATATAGCTAAAAAGCCCATTAAAGTGGAGAGCTTTGAATACAATAAAACATGCAATTGCGTACCCTTTAAACATATAGTTTAAACGAAAGTGTACATCAATAGGGTACATGAAAGACATAAATATAAAGACAAAATAGTGTAGATGGTACTATAAATGGTAATATTCTAAGGGATGGTAGTTTTGAACAAGTCACATGAATAAGAGCCTGTCAGTATTGGCTCAGAAGATTGCGCCTTTATGCTCTTAAAGGAACACTATAGTCACTTAAATTACTTTAGCTAAATAAAGCAGTTTTAGTGTATAGATCATTCCCCTGCAATTTCACTACTCGATTCACTGTCATTTAGGAGTTAAATCACTTTGTTTCTGTTTATGCAGCCCTAGCCACACCTCCCCTGGCTATGATTGACAGAGCCTGCATGAAATAAAAAACTGGTTTCACTTTCAAACAGATGTAATTTACCTTAAATAATTGTATCTCAATCTCTAAATTGAACTTTAATCACATACAGGAGGCTCTTGCAGGGTCTAGCAAGCTATTAACATAGCAGGGGATAAGAAAATCTTAATTAAACAGAACTTGCAATAAAGAAAGCCTAAATAGGGCTCTCTTTACATGAAGTGTTTATGGAAGGCTGTGCAAGTCACATGCCTTTGAGGTGTGACTAGGGTTCATTAATAAAAGGATTTAACTCCTTAATGGCAGAGGATTGAGCAGTGAGGCTGCAGGGGCATGTTCTATACACCAAAACTGCTTCATTACGCTAAAGTTGTTCAGGTGACTATAGTGTCCCTTTAATGTAACGTCGCACCTCTTCTCTGATGGAACTGTAGATCTCATGGAGAAAGGGGGAGATCCCTGAGATTCTTTGTAAGACCAATGCACGTAGCTCCAATATCCCAACTATCCAGCACTGCACTGCCTAGAGCTGCTGTATTTATATGGTTAATAATTAGGTCACATATGTGCACAGGTAGTAAATGATGAAATATTGTACTTATTTACAGCAGGCACCAATCTCTCTTGAGAATAAACATTGCTGCCATTTCAAACCCATGGGGAATACAGTCTCCACTGTCAGATAGGCTGCATAGCAAGTGATTCTGCAAAGCACTGTGTGCCAATCTGTGACATTTGTTTCACAAAGAACCTGCCTCACTACCATCTATTTGTATCAGTATTTCTGCTGATAACAAGATCTCTAGACTACACACAAATTGACCTTTTCCCTTGGATTGATAGATAATGTGTAAAGCATTGCGATTATCACTATATCATTGCAGGGTTTGTGGACCAGTATAAACTCTAATTGAATGGTTATAAATGTGGGGTTATACTTCACACTGCTCAGTCTATTCATTTTGTGGTAAGAACATAGATTAGATAGGGTTCCATTATACTAATGTCTGTCTGTCCATCCATTCTGAACTCGACAGAAGGTGAAAAATGAAAACAATATACAGGGTTAGTCACTTTAGTGAAAATTGTTGGGAATTCAAGCTGAAGTTAAAAGGTCAAATTAGTCAAGATGGAAAAATTCTCCAAGTCAACTTTGCATGCCTGACACTTTTCACTTTAGTAAATAACCCTGTTAGTGATCAGCCATACAACGTTCTCGAAGAACAAGCATATTGTCCTGACCCTATTTTGCTGTTGTAAGCATATGCATTGTATTAGTCTGCCCAAGGCCGGATTTGCTTTAAAGCCACCGAGGACACGGCCTTGGGGCGGCAGGCATGAGAGGTGTGGCATGGCTGGTGGGGGTATCAAAGATCTCCCTCACCGGCTAGCTGATTCTCCTGCTGTGGGGTCCTGAAGGACCTGTCTGCACCACCACATCTACCATGGGATCACCAAGGATCAGGTTCCCCCACACGACCCAATGTAAGCATCTGGGAGGGGGAATAAACTTTAGATTTTGCAGTTTTAATTTCTCACACTACAGCCCTTGTCTTCCCACTACAGCCACTATACTCTCCACTACAGCCCCTGTACACCCACCATAGACCCTAATCCTCCCCTACTACCCTTGTCCCTCCAACTCAGCTCCTGTGTTCCAACTCCCTCCCTATCCCCCTTACTATAACACTGATTGCCCCACTACAGACCTTGTATTGCCACAACAACCACTATCCCCTCACTATTATTATTATTAATATCCCCTACTACAACCCCTATCTCCCCACTCAGCCCTATCACACCACAGCACCTGTCCCACCCCCCACTGCCCTTATCCCTCTACCACATTTCCTATCTCCCACCCCACAGTCCGTATTCCCCCACTCCAGCCATTATCTCCCCACTTAAGGCCCTATACCCAATTTTCCCCAACCACAGCCATCTCCCCTTCAATACACATGTGAAGAAACTACCCCATCTCTTTTGTTACTCTTGTTTTTCCCTGTTCGGTAGATAAAACTACCGAACACCGACCACCCCCTGGCTCATTCACTTTAAAGCACACCGCCAATTAAGTGCTCTCTCTGTGTGGCCGCTGTTCGTATAGCCGAAAGCCACGTGCAAGAGAAAATGGTGGCCATCTTGTTCGCACGAAAGGAGGCAGCGATACTTGGTTGTCGAGTGTCTGGAACCAAAATCGGACACTCGACTTCCCGAATGCCGGTCAAACTACACAAACACCTGCTATTCGGTAGATTTGTTTCCATGAACGAGGGGAACAAATGCTACCTATGATCCAGGGGAACCATTCGTGGATTTATTGTTTTGTTTTTTTTACTTTTCGAAATAGACCGACCGCACAGCCCAATTTAACTGAACTATTTCTGGGCAGGAGCATCGTGTGTGGTCAGTCATATTAAGACCTCCATATATGTGCTTAAACCCCTGAACCAATCTGGGTGATTTTTGAATATGTTGGTCCCCCATTTTGGGGCTATCAGGGGTTATGGGGTTTCCATCGAGTTTGGGATATTTTCAGAGGTTTATGGAAATGTATGTTTTTTGTGTTGGGAGATAATTGAGTTTAGTATAGTGCTTGACTCAACTATCTCCCCAGAACAGGGAAGGATTATATGATTGTATGTAGGAGTGTCCTGGACCTGAGAGCCAACGTACTTTCAGAATGTATTTTGTCACTGTCCCCTCTCAGGTCCAGTAGGGAATGCCCCTGGCATATGTCAACTTTAACCCTGTGCATTGTTAACTGCATACTAACCAGGCAGTTAGCCTAAATAAAGCATTCCTGTTATACCCTTCATCTAGTTTGGGTATCTGTCTACTTTATCTGCTTGGATGCTGTAATATTCAAATCAAAACCCGAAAATAGGCAAACAGGTATCTGTAATACCTGCATTTGTTACAACACACATAACAGCCACTGTCTCCCCAACAAACACAACAGTCCCTATATCCCTAAAATGCACACTACAGCCCCAATCCCCTGCACACATACACGACAGACCTGAGCCCCCACACACATTATCAACAACCCCAATTTCCCAACACACACATAACAGCCACTACTTACATACCCAAACACATACTACATCACAAACACACAAACAACCTGCAACCACGCAAGCCACATCTCCCCCACACACAAACCTCAGAAACAAGCAACACCACAAGTAGCCTATACTCACCAATGCAACACAACAAGCAGCCACAACAAATACACAACCCCACAAGCAGTATCTCGACAAACATACAACCCCACAACCCCGCAGCTTACTCCCACAAATGCAAAACCACAAGAAGCTTCCACACACATAAATACACACTGCAGACATTTTAAATAAAAACCCATGCATAAAGCAAATGTAATTAAAACCTTTAGAAATTAACCCCTGTTAATCACAGAAGTCTTCTGTGGAGAAAAATATGTCAGAGATATATATTAAGGTGAGAGTTAAATGTGAATTCAAATTAAATTGAAAATTTAATGCCAAAGTAACCAATAGCCAAACTGTACGCTTAGAGAATTTGACATTTTAGTTATTTTTACAGTGAATTGGAAATTCACTTTGAATTCTCGCTTTAGTGAATAACCCTGCCAAAAAACTTCTTGTTTGTCACAAAAAATATGTAATCCAAGACGGTGGAGTATTTTCAACAAACAGATTAACTAAAAGCTAAGCATTACTGCAATAAAAGCATGAACTCTAGTGGGTTAATAGATGGGTTAAGAGGTTCCTGCAAATATATTTTGCCCATCCCTAGTTATATATAGAACAATCTGTGATAGAAGAATGACAAAGTCTGAACTGCACAATAAAACACAGATGATTTCACTTCCGGAAGATGTTTAGACCAAATCTGCCTGGATATTATTGTCCCCATGATTTCATTAACATGGTGATAATGATTCCTAACCAGGAGCTCTAACTGTATTTACCATGTCTCTTCGGCTTTGCTACATCTACCCTTAGAGAATAATCATTCTTCCTGTTCAACTCAACAAGCCTATAATTTAGCAAAACCAAAAATATAGAATATCATAGAGACATGTGCTCTGCCTTTACCTCAACAACTCACGCCAAGTTCAAACAGCACCACAGAAATGTAAAATGCTATGTTTTATGCTTCTTTGAAATTATCCTTTTTTTTACTTAAGATGCTTTTTGCGTTTCATTTTAAAATAATTAAAATAGTATATTTTGTTTGGCTTTATTTTACATAAAACATATGAGAAATGGCAATGTTCAGTTCAAATAAGACCGATCTTACAAACCAGATCCAAAAGTTTGCTGCAGGATGGGAGACTGGATACATAATTAATCATAGGTTTTAAAGAACAATAAAGAATTGGAAGAAGGGAAATGTCAGATGACAGTTTACGTAGTATTTCAGTATTCTCAGTATTACCATATCCTGCTGCATATTCATTTTCAGTTGGATCTTGCAAAGCAGTGCGTATGTGTATGGACAGTTCAGCGCTACTAGTTTGGCACTGTTAGCTTTTTGTCCCTTTTCGTTGATGACACATTTCTCAGTAACATTTGGTGCTTTTTTTTCTTATTTTATTTGTCAATTAAATGCTAAGCTTTGCTCCACTTTTATTCTGTTATATACGCAATGTATTTTGAAAATTGGCTTTTATAACGTATAGGAAGATTACATTTAGGGTTTTTTTCACTATAGTGAAAAATATAAATAAATAAAGACACTCTGTTAAAACAGAAGAGTGAATAATAATTTAATGTAACAAAACAGCTACTTGATTTTAAATAATATATACATTTATTTGTAAAAGTTACATTTTAAACTTTTGCCCAAAGCAGTCTATTCTAAAATATCATAGTCTCATATAAAGATTGTTACATTTTTAATTTTTGATATGAAAAATGTTTGCCCACAGGAGTCTATTCTGACTTATATGTCTCATATAAAAAAGCTTTTAACCATTTCTGTGGGTGATGAGTGAGTACCTAATGGGCGAACATTTACGTTTGATCTTCGCAACATTAAATATTTGTTTGCACTCTGTGAATTACATTCCGCACCTTGTTATTCATTCCAAACGTGTTATTGGTTTCTGTGTTTGTTTAAATCAAGTGTTATTTCTACATGATGGTTAAATTTTGAAATATTTAGACGTCAACCACATGGGTAATTCCTACTCCTACAGAAAAAGAAAATTAACAAAAATATTTTGTATGACTGCGGCTTACAGGAATTGTCTTTGCTGGGAAAAAAAGTGAATCACTAATTGTTCTTCCAACTGAATCACCTTTCATACAAACTTATGGATTTTAACCCTATTTTAAAATTCATAAAACTGTTTGGTACTCTTTAAAAATACTCCACTGGAGACCTCCTCTTTGAATAGTTTTCCCACTTTTATTTCCTTAAAAGACAATAGTAATTTGGATCTGACTTTATCACGTCTACTTAAAAGAGAAAGAGCTAGGGGTAGCGCCACAATCTTGATATGTACAGTGATATATACAGTATGTATTATGTAATAGATAAACAAATATATAGTTAAAAGTCCAAGAGATAATGTTGATATGCACTTATCAAAAGTATTTTTCTACCTAGTGTCTGGGTAATTCCTCAATAGGCGTAGCAGGGTGGGTTCAGCAGTGGAGTCCATATGAAACAACAGAAAGGAATAATTGGGTAGTATGTTCTTCAGGGGAAAATAAAAGGAAAACGATATAGTCCTACTCATGTTTTATGGAGCTGTAACTAGCTCCAGTATGAATGGCATACAGTGGTACATTCCCCACTTGCAAGGATACATGAGAATGAAGTCTTTGTTGTAGGTGGACCATTTCAATAAAAAGAAACAACAATAGTGCTCACTGAATAAAATGGATCGGCATCTGGCTTTTGCAGCTCTGCACAAGCCAGATGTCGTAAATGCTGTTTCAGACCATGCCAGGAACACAGTAAGACCGAGGTAAGAGGGCAAACTGTTGCTAAACAGTTGTTTGCCCCATTACCAGGGAATGGGACCAGAATACTCTTGGTGTCATAACCACTACAGTGGGCAGTAGGAGTTATGATGCATGGAGCATCCCTTTAAGGCTTAGCTCATTTGGATAGTGAAGTCAATTCTCAGGAACCCCATCTTAGAATGGAGAGACATTCACTGATTTTATGGAGAAGCTATTTGCAGTAATGGTCTTGTACTTATAATACAATCTTGCTGTTACACTGTTTAACAATAAAACACTAGGTGGCTTAACATTCGGCGTGTCTCTGGATATTACAGCTACCAGGCTAAGAATGTCATGGTTTCTTGCACTTGATAGTGCCTTAGTTATGTTCAGTTGTTTCTGTTACAATATTAAATTTTTTATAGACTTGGACATGGAGATTAGGGAGCATTACACACATTTTACAAATCAATTACAGCTATTTCAATCTACTTCTTTCTATGCCTTTAGGAAACAATTATTTATTTTCACTGTCCAGATGGCCTCTAAGTGTTGTTAGTTATCTTTTTTAACATTTAAATATATAAAGGGAAGTCTATCTTTTTTAGAAACATTTAAATATATAAAGGGAATCAACACAGTAAAGGAGGAGACAATATTTAAAAGAAGAAAAACTACCACAACAAGAGGACATAGTCTTAAATTAGAGGGACAAAGGTTTAAAAATAATATCAGGAAGTATTACTTTACTGAGAGGGTAGTGGATGCATGGAATAGCCTTCCAGCTGAAGTGGTAGAGGTTAACACAGTAAAGGAGTTTAAGCATGCGTGGGATAGGCATAAGGCTATCCTAACTATAAGATAAGGCTAGGGACTAATGAAAGTTTTTAGAAAATTGGGCAGACTAGATGGGCCGAATGGTTCTTATCTGCCGTCACATTCTATGTTTCTATGTTTCTATCTTTCAAAACATCACCATGTAGGGCACTTACCCATGGGAAGGGAGCACTGTTCACAAATAACCTTTGCTTATTTTATCCTTTTAGTATCAGTAATTTCCCGGTACATACTTATTTACCAGTATGTGGCACAGATCTGACCTATGGTGTAGAGGAGGATAGATCTAACGTCCAAGTACTTATACTATGCTTTATTACAGTTTCATACCGAGATATGATGTTATAATGTAGTGTCCTATGTGTTTTGTACAGTGAGCTAACAGAATGCAGGCCGGAGTGATCTGTGCTTGTAAGGGCACAGATTGCCTGCCATCACCAAACCATATCATCTTGTGATGAAAGTTCCAGTGTCATCTGATCACTACTTTGTCCTTTATTGCACCTATTACTTGCCCATTTCCAAAGATCTCAGAATGTCTATTCACATTAATTTTGCCTAGGTCAATATCAACACATATGTCTCTCATGGAATAATATCTTAGTACATATCTGAAAATCATCAAAGGTCTTTGTAGGCCTATTTTTTTTTAATTAAAAAAAAAAACTTTTGACATTAAATCCCAAACTATCAAAAATCTACAAGCTAAAATATCCTACTAAAATAGAAAGGGATATTTTTCTACATCTTGCAGGAAAGGAGTTAACTATACTTAAAAACAAAAGTCTACAGTTTAAATTCCTCTCAAGAGCTGTGGCTTCACTAAAATATGCACTGAACACGGCTGTTTCTCTTTATTTTGGCAAGCGAGAAGAGAAGTGGCTATAAAATGGAGATCTCCCATAATTCAATAGAATCTCTGTTTTATTTGTAAATTCTCGTGGTTGAATGCTCTCATCAATAAAATAATCCACCATAGCAGAAGCTAAACTAACAAACCACAGTAACCAGTATTTCTTCAGTTTTGTCAACAATTGTTAACAACCAATTCAAATAGGCCTTTATAATACGGTGTCGGTTCCTTAAAGATTAATTATAAACAAGCTTATTATTTGAAAAACTGTATATGCTGCTGAACTATAAGAAAATCTTCTCCTGTCTCTTAAAACAACACTACAACATTAGGAACACACATGTATTCCTAACTCTATAGAATCCCCCTCTCTATTTGGATTCAAGGCCACCCTAAAGTAAATTGAAAAACGATTTAACTTAACTTATTTCCAGCGCCGAGACTTACTCTGTGCTAAAAGCCTCTGGTGACTCCGACCTGCAGACATAGCTTCATTGGCTTTTCATCAAGACAAATGCTTCTCGTAGAGAAGCACTGGGGCCAAGAAGCACATTTGCAGCAAGGGCGGTGTTCAGCCAATTATAAAGAAGCATTGAATCCAATGCTTCTCTGTGATCAGCATTTGATGACATCCAAAGTTCAATGTTGCATAACTGAATCATGCTAGGTCATTGCTGAGGAAACACCCACTAGTGGTTGTCTGGAAGACCGCCACTAGAGGTGTGTTTAGCCCTGCAATCAAAACAGTGCTGTCAACAAAAAGTAACTGTTTTAGATTGCAGGACTAAAATGGCAGGGCCCTGACCACTTCATTGAGATGACATTAGTAAACCAGTAAACCTATATTCAAGCTGGTGGCATGCAATCAGAGTGCCCAACTATCATTCAGAATCTTGCTTTGGTATTAATGCCCACCAGACACGCCAAAGAAAATGGGACAGATCTAATGTATTGTATAAAAATAAAAGCAGACTGCTCGTATACTACATATCATATATATAGTGTATAGTGCTACAGTTAGTTCTAAAAAACACACACTTTATATAAGCTATAGTACACTTAACCTACCACACTTCCCCACTTTTGGTAGACTCTAATCCATTTTTCAGAAATCAGACTGTTAAATGTATTACTTACACTGGACCTAACCCTTCCAGCCGCATGTATACTCTCCTGTAGACAATAAATTGGGGTACTTTAATATTGCTGTATATAACCCTATATTAATAAAGGATTTTATTTTTAAGTAGCCTTCAAATACATATAGCACATCTTGTATAATGTGACATGCGCCGATCCCACCTGTGTATTGTTTATCGTGACATAATGAGAGGTGAGGGGTTAAATCTTAGCTCACACGGGCTATCTATTTGAAGAAAGGAGGATGCCTCAGGAGGTTGCCACACTAGTTGAAACATGATCTATTGTAATATGAACAGGTCAAAATACTTCTGCGGACACAGCTCTGCTACAAATAAAGTGGTCTTTAAATGAAGCCACTTCAAATGTTGCCTTTACTTCTCCACAAGGGACTGTATCAATGCAGCTTCAAGCTGTAAATCATCACTTTGATTCTTACGTCTACTCCATTTAATAAGGAGCAAAACGCAGGAATCACAATGATGATTGACAGTACTGCTTACAAAGATGTTCCGCAGCATTAACAGCTGAAAATAAGCCACAAAGTAGCAGAAATAGCAATAATAGGTTAAAGGTTTATTACAGTGTAGCCAATATATTCTCTCCTTACCGTAAATGCATTTAAGACATCACTGTGGAGTAAATGTTAACATTTCTTATAACGCTTTGCGGTAAGGTTAGGGAGGAGATAAGGTAATAAAATTTTGGAGTAGGTTTCAAGGGTTCTTTCAAGGGTTCTGAGTCTTCAAGGTTATTTAGAGAGGGTTAATAGGGTTAGGGAGTGTTTAAGTATAGTTTTTTTTGCAGTTAGAGTTACAATCAGGGGCGTATTAGCCGCGAGGCAAACAAGCTATTTGCCTTGGGCGGCATTTTTCAGGGGGCGGCAAAAAAGCCGCCCCCAAATGCCCGGAGCAAATGCCTTGTTAGCCTCTCGGCTAACAGACATGCCGGTCGGGCTGGGCGGGCAGCGGCGGGCGGCCGGCAAGGGAGCTCTTCCCCTGAGCTCTGCTCAGCTCCCTCGCGCGCCTCAGAGTGAGGCTGGGACCTGGAATATGATGTCATTTTCCGGCTCCCAGCCTCACTCTGCTGGCGGCACGAGAGGGAGCTGAGCAGAGAGCTCAGGGGAAGAGCTCCCTCGCCGCCCGCCCGCCCCGCCCGCCCGCCCAGCCCGACCGACCGACCGCCCGGCAGCCACTGGACCCCAGGGAGAGGAAGAACCCCCCCAGCATTCCCAAAGGTAAGGAGGCTGGGGGGGTTAAATAAAAAATAAATAAAAAAACACAAGTGAGTGTGTGTGTGTGTTAGTGTGTGTCTGTCAGTGTGTGTGTGTGTATATGTTAGTGTTAGTGGGTGTGTGTATGTTATTGTGTGTGTATGTTAGTGTGTGTGTGTATGTTAGTGTGTGTGTATGTTAGTGTTAGTGTGTGTGTCTGTTATTGTGTGTGTGTGTCTGTTAGTGTGTGTCTGTCTGTTAGTGTGTGTGTCTGTTAGTGTGTGTGTCTGTTAGTGTGTGTCTGTCTGTTAGTGTGTCTGTTAGTGTGTGTGTGAGTGTGTTTGCCTGTTAGTGAGTGTGTGTTTCTGTTAGCTAGTGAATGCGTATCTGTCAGTGAATGTGTGTGTGTGTGTATTTAGAAGGCGGAGCAGGGGGGAAGGGTTGGGTGGCGGTTGCGCAGGTGGGGGTAGCGCGGGGGGGTGCCTGAGTTTTGTCCTGCCTAGGGCAGCACGAAACCAGGATACACCGCTGGTTACAATGGGTTTAGGATTAAGAGAACCTTAGGGTTGGGTTATCTACATTTAATGTTGCGTGATCCCAATGATTTTAGGATAGTTGCTGTCATAAACGCTGCCACAATCATTTAAAGGATCACTATAGGGTCAGGAACACAAACATGTATTCCTGACCCTATAGTGTTAACACCACCATCTAGCCCTCCTGGGCCCCTCATGAATCCATAAATATAGTAAAAATCTTACTGTATTCAAGCCTGAAGCTGTAACTCTGCATGCTGGTAGACTCAGAAAAACAAGCAATCTGCTGACATGTGGTATCCTGATCCAATCACAGTGCTTCCCCATAGGATTGGCTGAGACTGACAAAGAGGCAGATCAGGGGCAGAGCCAGCATGATTCAAACACAGCCCTGGCCAATCAGCATCTCCTCATAGAGATTAATTGAATCAATGAGGAAAGTTCAGTGTCTGCATGCAGAGGGAGGAGACACTGAATCACAGGATGCTGTGCACAGTGCCGCCCTGTGCTCTGATGACTGCAGATCTGAGTGGATGGAGGCATATTATGCATCCATCAACTCCGAAGTCCCTCTGGTTCACTCTGAGTGACTGCAACTGGAGGCGTTCCTAGCTTTCAATGTAAACACAATATTTTCTCAGAAAATACAGTGTTTACATGAGAAAGGCTGCAGGGAGCTATAGTTCTCACCTGAACAACCTCATTAACCCCTTAAGACCGGAGGGCATACTATTATGCCCTATTTTAGGCGGCTCTAAACGCCGCCGGGCGTAATAGTACGCCCTCATGTTTTTGTTTACTTGCCCGGTCGCCGGCGGTCCCAAGCCGGCGATCGCGGGGACTCCCAGGGAGCCCCCCCCGCAGCAGGTCTTCCCTCTTACAGCCCCCCGGCCATGTGAGAGTGAGGTCCTTGCGAGGACCTCACAATCACATGGCCGGGATAGCTGGCTGCAGCATTGCCAGCACTGGTGCTGCCTGTAATGACAGGTAGTCCCCCTGCTGGCTGGAAATAAAATAAAATAAAAGTATTAAAAGTTAAAAAGTGTAAAAAAAAATAAAATATATACTTAGATCATATATATACACATATACATACATATACATGTCCAGTCTTTTTTAGTAGCCACTTAGTCACAAACACTGGCCAAAATTTGCGTTTTTTGCATTTTTCACACACAAACAAATACTAACGCTAACTTTGGCCAGTGTTTGTGACCAAATGGCTACAAAAAAAACTGGACATACCCCATTTGCAATACCTTGGGTTGTCTAGTATTGCAAATGGCATGCCATTATGGGTGTAAATTTCATTCCTGGGCTACTATAAAGTCCCAAAGGCAACGTAACCAATCTGGCGAATTTCAATTTCAAATGTAACGTGCTATATTTGACCCTGTAACTTCCCAAAACGCCATAAAGCCTGTACATAGGGGGTACTGTTTTACACATGAGACTTTGCTGAGTACAAATATGTGTATTTTATTGCAGTAGAAGCAAACAGTATTATGACATTGACAGTTAAAATGTCATGTAGAACTAAAAAAATCTTATTTTCTCCCATTTTTTTCATATTAAATTATGTTTCATAAGCGAATTACGGTTGGACAGACATGTAGCACAAATGCCAGGTTTTGTTTATATTTTGTTTCGTTCACAACGTGTACATTTGGCTCCGTCCTTAAGGGGTTAAGCTGAAGCTGTTCAGGTGACTATAGTGTCCATTTAATGCAGTGACATAGAGATAGAGAGTCTCTGTAATTACTGTGATCATTTTAAATTCAACATGTACATGTTGACTATTTTAATGTGAATTGCCCCAACCAACCAGCATTTTTTTTTCACGATTAGTAAATACATCACATTATTCATAGGATACTAGAATATGACTCTTGACTAGCAGGCTCTGTTAGTAATTAGACTGACCATAAACCCTTTATAAATATGCCCATGCTGCATTGTGTGTGCCAGGTGAAGTCAGTCAGGGATCACACATTGCTGAGTAAGCAGAACGCTGGCTGTCCTTTTCACACTAGCCCGGCTGCCCCCAGCATATTTTCCACACCCTTAGAGGTCAGCCATTAATGCCAAGAGATGATGACTGGGATAGTATATAGGAGTAAATTTATCTCACTAACTAGCCTGTGAGTAGGTGACATTGTAGCACACGGTGCAGGTGACATTCGAAAGCAAGTAAAATACTAAATAAAACATAAACACAGTGAAATGTCCATAAATATTCATTAGACTACTATGCATATCACGTTTGCTAAAAAATAATAAAACAACTCAAAGTGAAAATTCTATCTTTAATACGAAATTTAAACTATGCCGTGTCCGTGACATTTTCTAAAATGTTAATAGAATATATTTTAAGCAGCTTTATAATGAAATAATCGTATCTATAAAAACTAGCTTGTTGACACTATTTTAAATATTGCTTCAACTGCAAGCAAATGCCATTTCTGTCAGTTTTGAACTCATCGAGTATTGTTACATAATGACTTGGTTACTAAAGAGTGAACTGTGATGTAAAATCAGGCTAAAATAGCCGAGCAGTGACTAACTATAGTTAAATTGGAAAATTTATTTCCAACTCCACTTTTGTGACCTACATTTTTCAAATCAGTATTCCAATGGCAAACCCAAAACATTCCATGTAACTGTAACAAGTCTATATGGCCAGTCGCAGTCTAGGTCCGTAGAACATGATATTGCATGGCAAAATCATTAAGCATTCGGCTACTGAAGTAGTATTTGGCCAGGAACATGGATCCACAGTACAGCCAGGTGTTATGATGAACTTTAAAGGTGAAATCCCATTTATAACTGAATCTGTGCAGAAGGATTCACACCATGAATACAACTCATTTCTGCTAGGGGGAGGACAATGTCAGCACAGAGAGATACACAGAGGGAATTATTATATATTGTCAATCATTTCACACTTTGTTCTATAGGTTTTTGATGTACACAGTTCCTCTACAGCTGTTTACAACAACCATCAAGTTTGAAGAAATTTGTGAAGCGGGGATAGTCATGTATTAGGCCGCCATCTGTAACAGAACTACAATTCCCAAGAAGCCTTGCAAAACATATGCTGTGTTCTAGGCTTTCAAAAGATTTTTAGAAGTTGTGGTTTTATAACAAAAAGGGATCATGCCTAGGTGACAAACATAAAGGGATATCCACTATAGCATGTGCAACTTCTCCATGCCTCCAGTAATTCCAAGCCAAACCCTCTAATGAATTTCAAATGAGCTTAACCTACAACAGGCAGCTGAGGCTGGTAAAGAGGGGTGAAGGACAGTGTTTGCATCACAGATTGACCCACTCCTGGCACACTCACCACTTAACCCAAGATTCTCAGAGGCCTGGGCTCTCTGCAGCCCAGAAGCACCAGCTGCTGTTTTGCCTCCAATTACTATTCCCAGTTTCCATCGCCTGAGACACATACACAGACTGGTATCATTTTACCAGAGCATCAACGAGCCAGAAAGGAGCATTCCTATTAACAATACTAAAGCAAAAACACATGAGAAAACAGAAGTGCATGCAAAAAATAGACATATTTTCTCAGAAATACAGATAGAAACAGAAGCATTCAACCAAGCTAAGAGCTAAGCAATCTGTCAATTCACAGATGCTCTTGGAGTACAACCATACCCTTTCTAACCTGTCGCCAAAAGCTGCTTGATGATGATGAAACCTTTAGATGAAGGGCAACTTGAAGGCAGGCAGATGAAAAACACTGACCTAGACAGTAACACATAGCTATAAAAAGACATTGACTTGCACACTAAACAGTGACACTGTGATAAGCTGACAACTGGCAACAATTCCAAATCAGATGACTTGGAGATAGTTTCCAACTAAACTATTTTGTCTTAAATTGTGAAATGCAGTGGTCACCACCACCACCAACCACCACAACAAAATGAGCAAAACATGCATTTTACAATATGGTTTTATTCAGCCAACATGACCCTCCTGAGATATACTCTATTACATAATTAATTTTAAAGTCACTAGCCCCTTTCCCCTCCCCTCCCCACTCCAGCCTCTGCTTCTGAATAATATATGATCATTATAGAGCAGCATAACACTGTAATAAGAGTAGATCAGGCTTGTAGAGCAAGACAATAAACAGTACAGACAGAGACAGATACTGACACAAGAAGGCTTGGGGTGGCACAAGATACAAATAGCTGGAACTAGGGAAAATATGGTCATAGAATAGACACGCAATGCAATTTATAAACAAAGTCTGCACATCATGATCAATGACCCATGTTTACATCTCATACACCTTACATTTCCTCATCTGTGATTAACTTAAAGAGCTTTTCTGGAGATTAAATTGTGTGTGAGGACTAGGCAGTGTTACAGAGAGATGAGGCTGAACTAAGCAACAGTTGCATTGAAACAGGAAGACGATAGAACTCTATAATGGATACATAGTAAGGTGTGATATAGAGAAACAGATGAACCCCCTTCTAAGCTATTTCATAGAGGTCATACACTACAATGACTTTCCATATATCTAGGAGCTCTGAGAGTGTTACTGCATTGGAGTTAAAGCTCTGTACAGTTTTTATGCCTTGGATTTGTAAAACTTGCTATCAAGCAGGATGTTTCAGATCTCCCAAACATCATAATAACAGCAAACATAAATGGCAAATACTTATAAAAAAACATAACAGAAATGTACTGTGTAATAAATCATGTTATACTGAGAGAAAAGATACATTGTGAAAATAATGTAAAATGATCTTACATGTCTATTTTACTAAAATGAGTAAAAACAAATTGATGTCTGTCAGTCAGTCTGCCTGTCGTTATCAGCTGTCTGTTCTATCTATCTGTCTCTCTATCCAGTAACCAACAGATGGAAGGCACCAGCAAGTCATTCCATATCTGTGAGCTCTCCTGGCACATACAGGGTTAAAGGCAATGTATATGCAGTGTGTACCCCCCTGCCATCACTTAGAGCCATGCCTCACCCCCCTGTAGCAATAAGTAGCGCTCTGTCTGCCTCACCTTTCAGCGCTCTGTGATTCCAGCTGCCTGCAGTCAGTGTGCACTGCTACAGCCAGACTCTGTTCATTTAACAGCATTCCCCTCCTCTGCTCAGAGCAGGCGGATTGGATGTCCCACAGCAGCCCTGCAACTGGCTGTGTCTGTCAAAACATCCCTCTCCCTCTACGCTGACTGAGGGGGGCCTACTGACTCACCCAGGCTGTCTCTTATTCTAGGCTCTCTGTCTCATTTATCTGGGGTCCTTGTCATCTCTCGCTCTGTCTACCCACTAGATCATCTTTTCTTTCAATTTCATTTCTCTTCAGTGTGTGTAAAAACATGCCTTTCTGTTCCATTTTTATAGTTTTACAGTAAGGTTGGAAAAACTCCAAAAGTTTTTTTTCAACTTTCTATCACAACAAAAAAAGTCTTCCTTGTTCCCAAAAGTGGTTATCTTTCCCACTATTGTTGACTGTCTTTCTATAGCCCAATAACTCACTAGTAATTGTTAATCTATTTATATATCCCCACTATATTCTTTGAACGTAATATGTGGGCACTATATAAATAATAAGAACCTTTGCTATCTCCAATGCCTTCCCTGCTTGTAACACAGTTTCCCCTCTCTCCACTAACTCACTGAGATATCTGCAGGTTGTACATTTTCCCAAGGTCCTGGTGCCTTCTTTGTGATATACTAGTGCAGGGGTAGGCAGTCGACACACCAGATGTTGTGGACAGCATTTTTTCTTGATGCTTTGCCAGCATTACAGCTGTAAGAGAATTATGGGAAATGTAGTTCACAACATCTGGAGTGTCAATGGTGGCCAACTCCTGTACTAGTGTAATTTGCTGACCCCTATCTCAACTTCCACGTCTATGCTGTGGCACACATAAGTACACCTTCTGCTACCAGACATTAAGAACAGAGAATGACAGTCTCATTTGTATGGGTATTGTTCCTAAGCCTAAAGTGCTGGCACTGTACATGGTACAAGATGCCAGGATCCTGTTACAGAGATATCAGTTTAAAATATATGGTCAATTACGATTGATTATTATGTATGTCTTGCGTAGCATTGTGCAGCTAACCTTTATTACATAACATTTATTACACCTCACTGCACTTTTACTACATGAGGATATTTCATTGACACATTGGTACGATGGACACAGCACCATCACAGCCCACTGCGCTGGTTGGGTTATTACACCTCAGCTCACAGACAAATCACCAGTGCACATCTATCTACATGAGTAGCTCATAACTTTTTGGCAGGGAACCAAATTACATGCATTACACTTGCTCAGTGACCCATTCTTCAATTGTAAAATAAAAAGTCACAAAGCAGAAATTACGCAAAGACCTTTTCAGTGTCCAGAGGGTCTCCGCTGCATTTATAAAAAGGCAATGCTGCTCTGGTAAATCATTTATTATTGAAGATGCATAGGGCATGAGACATATGTTTATGATCCAACTAGTTAGAACAAACTACAATTATACCAGGTTTAAAGGTAGACTGTAGTCACTAGAATAAGTACAGCTTAATGTAGTTGTTCTGGTGTCTTTAGCCTGACCCTGCAGGCATTTAAATATAAACACTGCCTTTCAGAAAAAAAGGCAAAAATTACTGCCTAGGGACACCTCCAGTGACAGTCACTCAGATGGCCACTAGAGGTGGTTCCTGGGTAAACACTGATGTTCAGTGTCTCTGTGTTGAACATTCCCCATAGAGGTAAACTGATTCAATGCAACTCTGTGAGGAAATGCTGATTACTGCAGTGCAAGGTTTTGCAGTGCATGCCTGATTTCCTCCCAATGACTTCCTATGCAAAAGTATTAGATTGGCTGAGATTGTCAATTATGATTATCTCAGCCAAGGGGGCGGAGCATTGTCAAAGCCAACAACGGTGAACCCTCAAGGCGCTGGAATTAAAGTAAGTTTTAACTCTATTTAAGAGGGGCAGGCCACCTAAAATGTTTTTAAACACTATAGGGTCAGGAACAGGAATATACATTTGTTCCTTTAACTATCACTGATCTACGGCAAAAATGACTAGACCAACCCAGACTCACTTATCCTTTAACAGGTTATTCATGAAAGTCAGAAATGAAAAATGAATTGAAAGCGAATTTTAAATTTTAGGGACTCCATAGGCACCCAGACCACTTTATCTCAATGAGAATGGCGATATTTACATTGCAGGGTTTTAATGCCTGAAGTGCCTTAAAACCCTGCATTACCAAAGAAATAGCAGAGTGAAACTCAGATGGTCTCATAGTCAGGTGATTGCTTATGACTGAGACCATCTGATTGGCACAGCAGGGAATATTGCCGTGCATGCACTCCAGCCTCCCAATGCTTTTCTTTGGGAAAGCACTGAATTGGTAGAGATCATCAAGACTTATTATAGTCATAGAAGCGCAGCCAGCAATGCATAGAACAGTGAGGCAAGGGAAACAACGTAAATAAAATAACTTTTCAACTCATGCGGGGAGGGGGGAACCTGAACAATGACAAGGACACTATAGCATTGTGAATACACATTAGTGTTCCTTTAAGAGAAAAATCGCTGAAATGGAAATATTCTTCAAGTCAGCAGTGCTTCTAGTTCAGCTACTTTGACCTTACATTTGAAATTCACATTGCATTCATGACAATTCTCACTTTAGTGAATAACCTTGTTAATGTCATGGTGTCATGGACCAATATGATGTAGTTAGTTTTAGCTTTGCAACCCATTTTCCGTGACACACTATTCAACTGGAAAATAATCTTAGTGACACATTCTCTAATTGGAAAATGATATCAGTGACAGATTCTTCAAGTGTAATATGATTAACATAAAATAAATTCTGGAAAATACCTTAAAGGCACACTATAGTCATCAGAACAACTACAGTTTAATGTAGTTGTTCTGGCATCTACTCCCTGTCCCTGCAGGAATTTTCATGTAAAACTGCCTTTCCATAGAAAAGGCAGTGTTTCCATTGCTGCCTAGGAACCAGGGCCGGTGCAAGGATTTTTGCCGCCCTAGGCAAAACATTTTTTGCCGCCCCCCCCATGTCCTGCCCACCATGTGACATCACAATGCCCCGCCCATATGCTCTGCCATATGGGCCAACGCCAGTCTTCACAAAGTGTCTTTTATCTGAAAAGACAGTGTGTTTACATTAAAAAGCCTACAGGCACAGGCTATAGACACCAGAACCACTACATTATGCTGTAGTGCTTCTGGTGACTATAGTATCCATTTAATGTGAAGTAAATTAGAGATTAGTGCCACTAATAATATATTGGATTGCCTACTTACCACCAGATGAGGACAAGAGGCTGATGATGGGCTCGGTCTGGCTCCACAGGTCTAGTGTAGAAAAGGCTCTCTGGAGACTGTTTTTAACAGTGCTCACAACAATTAACGAACATGAAGCAGTTCCATTTTTTAGGGCCCCTTACACAGCTCAAGGTCTGGGTCCCCAGGGCTTGACCGTGAGTATGCCTACAATGCCCACCCATAAATCCACCTACATGGCCCACCCGTGAGTTCTCTCACAGGAAGTGGAGTGTATGTGTGTAGGGGATGTTTTATGTGTTATTGTAGAGGAGGCAACGTGTGTGTGTTCTTATAGAATGTAGTGTATAGGGATACCAATTTCTGTAAGGGATGTAGTGTGTTTATAGGGGATGCAGTGTGTGTTTGTATGTAAGGAATGCATTGTATGTTTCTGGGTGTGTGTGTGTGTGTGTGTGTAAGGGGTGCAAGGTGTGTTTCTGTGTATTTAATTGAATGCAGTGTGTGTCTGTAAGGGATGCATTGATTGTGTAAGAGATGCATTTTGTTTCTGTGTATAAGAGAATGAGTTTGTGTGAACGTAAGGGATTCATTGTGTGTTTCGGGTGTGTCTGTGTGTGAGTAGGAATGCATTGTATGTTTCTGTGTGTGTGTGTGTGAGTGGGGGGGGATGCATTGTGTATGTGTGTAGTGTAAAAGAGAGGGTTTGTGGGGTAAGATAGGGACTGAGAGGGGAGCAGCTCTTTATTTTTTTAATTTTTTGCATAGTGCTCACCCTCCTGTCAATTATTGATTTCCCCTTCCCTCCTGTCCCTTAGTGCTCTCCCTTGGCCCCCTGTAGTCCCCCCTTGGTGGTCTTCTCACTCCCCCCTCTCCCCCTTAGTGGTCCTCCATCCCTCCCCTTAGTGGTCCTCCCTCTCCCAAACCCCTTAGTAGACATTCCCCTCCTCCCCCCACCCCCTTAGTGGTAATCTCCCCCCTCAGTGGTCATTATCCTCTTTCTCCCACCCCTTAGTGGTCCTTACCCTCCTCCCTCTCCTTAGTGGTCCTCCCTACTTACCCCCCTTTGGTTTTCCTTTCCCCCCTTAGTGGTCCACCCTCTCCCAAACCCCTTAATGGACCTCCCCCCTCTGTGGTCCTTACCTCCCCTCCTTCAGTGGTCCTTACTCCCCGCCCCCCTCCCCCTGTGTTCCTTCACCCCCCTTCCCCAGTGGTCCTTACCCTCCCCTCCCAGTGGTCCTACTCCCCTCTCTCCTCCCCCAGTGGTCCTTACTTCCTCCTCTGGTGGTCTTACTCTCCCCTGGTCCTCCTCTCCCTGTGGTCCTTACTACCCCCTCTCCTCCTCCCCTTCCTTCCTGTGGTCATTCCCTTCCTGGTGGTCCTACTTCTCCTCCTCATCCCCTGGGTGCTGGTGGTCCCCTCTCTCCTGCCTTCCTGCCACCCCCGTGGTCCTTACCCCCCTCCCCTGTGTCCTTGCCTACCCCTCTCCCCCTGTGGTCCTTACCTTCCCCCCCTCCCCCTGTGATCCTTGCTCTCCTCTTCCCTCCCGCGTATGTAGCGTGGCCGGGCGGCGCGGAACGTGGGACAGGAACCTTTGTTTCCTGTACCCGCCCCTCCTCTTCCCTCCCGCGTATGTAGCGTGGCTGGGCGGCGCGCAACAGGAACCTCTGTTTCCTGTGTCCCGCGTTCCGCGCCGCTCAGCCACGCTACACGAGAGATCGGCGGGAGGGATCGCTCTGCGCTTCCCTCCTGCCGGTCACTGAAATCTGGCCACCCTCCACAGCAGTGCTGCGCCGCCTGAGGCTTGTAAAAGCGCTCAGGCAGCGCAGCATGAGGAGCCGCCGGGCGCAGGGATCCGGCGCCCCCTGCAAAGGTGCGCCCTAGGCGGCTGTCTAGGTCGCCTTACAGGTACCCTGCTAGGAACACCTCTAAAGGCAGTCACTCAGACGGAGTTGATGTGCAATACCTTCTAAATGCTTTCCTATGGTAAAGTATTGGATTGGCTGAGATTGTCAATTCTGGTGCTCTCAGCCAAAGAGGCGGAGTGTGTGCGGGGCCAGTGCCATTGGAACTGTGCGGAGCTGGAAAAAAGTTCTAGCCTTATTTAATAAACAACATATGGTGGCCAATTGTAAACACTTAATGAATATAATCTCACATAATCCCAACCGCTGAGTATGCAGTAAAAATTTATAAGGACCGATTTTGGGAATCTGTGATCTAACCTGTAACTGTTTCATCATTACTTTCCCTGTCCCAAAACTTCAACTTCTCTCCCCAACAATTCCATATTACTATGTATAGTAGATTTTATATTTTTATTTATATAGTAAAATGTCTGCTACTTTTTTTATTATGCCACATTCGGCTGGTGGCTTGTGTTCCAACATTTGTCAATTTGTTATAAAGAGTCACTCAGTGGCAATGTTCATCAAATAATTCGCCACCAATGTTGCTGTGACAGGATTTTCACAGCAATATTTAATGTATAAAGCGTGTAGGTACCTTTTCACAAACATGAAAATGGCACTAGAGTATAAAGATCACAAAAGACAGTAACAATTACTAAAATAAAAAAAAAGTTATATTACTTTTATATATAACAACCTGTGCGAAATCATCAGTTACATCAACTTTAACCCCATAAGGACACATGACATGTGTGACATGTCATGAATCCCTTTTATTTCAGAAGTTTAGTCCTTAAGGGGTTAAATAAACAGTCTAGGCACCCTAAACACTACAGCTTACCCCATGGAAAAATAATTTAAAAAACACTGTAGTGTCAGTTATTCCTGACACTATAGCAGGGGTCCTCAAACTCCGGCCCCCCAGATGTTGCTGAACTACAACTCCCATGATTCTTTGAATTACATGGATAGACAGAGAATCATGGGAGTTGTAGTTCAGCAACATCTGGGGGGCTGGAGTTTGAGGACCCCTGCACTATAGTGTAAAAATCACTCTTTAGGTGCCTTACCTTTTAAATTGTATTTTACTCACCTTTTTGGCTATTTAGACCTATAGTGTCACAAATACATATTTGTAATGTTCCTTTAAAGCACTTTTTGGTAATTAATGGGAAATTGATCTTTTTTTTCAGATAATCTTGTACTTTACCTAGTAGCAGCGGGACACAATGCAGATTGTAGATTTTATAACTATTGCAACATTGGATTACTCTGTAGTAAGTATTTAAAGAAATAACTAACACATGTTGCTCTAGGTTTCATTGAAAATCAGATTAGCTAATACTTGGTGGGTGAATTTATTCTTACAATTAACCAGCATATATTCTATTTTTTTGTTTCATTTTTTTTGTTTTTGTTTTCAGAATATATTCCATTCAAAGAAATAATCGTTATTAATATATAATTTTTTTTGTCTACCTATTGTGGAGCAACAGGTGTTTGGCAATGTATCATGGGAGATGTAGCAGCACAAGTAGTTGATAACTACCTTTTGACTATACTCATGAATACCAAGTTTCACAATACAGCATAACCCTCCAGCATTCAATAAGTTAATTATGCTTCTCCAGACTATAATATAATGTAGGTGTACATTTCTCTGGAGCTGAAAAGAATGAATTTCAGTTATGCAGTCAGTGCCAAAACATTACATATCTGTGTTTATCTTAAAAATTCCATTTTAACTGTAGAGTGATTACCTGAGTAATTATCTAAAAAAAATCCCTTTGCTGCCTAGTCATGTGAATAGCTAGAGTTAAGTGAGTCAAACTGAAAAAAAAAAGACAAATTATAAAGCCGTCAAGGAAAATCAAGGGATAATTATATAAAGCAGATTGGAATGTGAGATGGCATGCAAGGTGCCAAGGTGAGGAAATGTGCTATTTTATTTATGTCTCAGAATAACTAAAATTTGCTATTTCAACATCTTGAGATTAATGGTGGCATTTACAGAATTTTTTTTATTTTTTTTGGACCTGTTTATGATTTCTAAAAAAAAAAAAAAAAAAAGACATAATTACCATGCACGCCTTTGACATATTATTCTACTTCTAAATTCAGAATTAGTTGCATCCTAAATAATTTAAAACATTTTGTGATGCACCCATATTTCCGCAACGCTTTACATGCAGTAAAAGAGTATGAAACATAAAACACATTTATGTTATTCAGTTCAAAAGGTGTTGAATACCCTGCCGATGAGAATATAACTATAACAGTGAGTGAACTTTTGTTCTATGTGTCCAGGTTTAATAGAGGGTGTCTTGTTATTAGGCACCTGGTTGTATAATAATTAAGACTGGGCTTAGGAGAGATGGGAACATTTTGTTTTATCTCAAAATCCAGTGGGGATTTCCATTTTAGGGCACAGCCAGACAGGGCGTATGTAGAGCTACACTCTGTATCCTTGGGCAATGTACTAAGGGCTTGTTTCCAAACATGTCACTAAGCTTTACCAGCAGATGCTAGTGTTATCAAGTAGCAGTTGATTGCCAAATGGTAAATTTCACATTTAGTGACAAGGAATTAATGGCTGCAGCTACTGTTAATGGCTCGCTTGGGGTATATTGGGAGCCAATAACTGCTACTTACTGGCTGGTTTCCAGGAGATACCCAATTCCCTAAGCCCTTTTGTAGAAAGTTTTATGGGACCATATGGGCCAAGGAAACTGAGCGTCTTCTGGGCTCTGTTATGCCACAATAATTACAGCTGCCCAAGAGACATCTCCTAGGACCACATTTATTACCCTTAACCCACTGCATATGGGGTAAAGGATGGGGTCAAATACGTTTCTCTGTATTAATTGAAGGGGTTACTTTGTTAAGTGAATGATAAAAATAAATAAGTAATATTTTCCTGTGCTGTTCACTGCTGCAGAGGAGACATAGGATTGCACAGAGCATTGTCCTGCATTCTCCCGTGTGGTAATGCTATGCTAAGTTAGTGTTGCAATCACTATCATTTGGGGTATACATTACTAAATGTAGGCCATAAGGATAGAAATCTGTTGATAATGATGGCAGATATTTAGAGAAAAAGTTAGAAATGAACCCAAGTGTTTTAGCAATGGGTGATCAAACTACAGGAGCTGCATGGAGATTAGCCACACAATGCCAACTGACAGAGATTCATCTCAGTTGTTGGCATTAAGGGCAGCATTAGTCAAAATGTGACCCTCTTGTGACGTCAAAGTTGTCATAATACATATGATGGAAGGGGAATGAAACACGTAATGTATCAACAGCTGGGCATAGTGTCTGCCATGGCTTAAAATTGAAGTAGCAAGGAACACACATCTCTTGCTGCAAAGGTTACTCTACTCATATGTTACTATCCTCCTGTTTTATCTGTTACTTGGTCTATGTTTACCCTTTTCCTTGGTTGGTTCATTCATTGACATAACCTGAAATAATACAGCAGTACCACACTAGGAATGATAAGATAGATCTGTGATCATATTTCTTTTTTATGTTAGACCACCATAACTTCACCCTTATTTTCTTCTTGTACATCATGATGCAAAAGAGTAGACGATTTATTATTAAAGCATCAGAAGTGGGTTCAGAAAACTAGAACACACTGGAATTTGTCAACCCTGTTTTAAAGGACAATATTTTCAAGGGTCTCAAATTAATTTATTTTTAATTCTTCCAAGGAATGTCTATATTTAGCCGATGATATGTGTACTGATATATTTCTATGTCTTTTGTGTTTTTTGGACTATGTTATAGGCATCAAATCCAGCTGAATCCCATGAGCTTATATCTTTTTTTCTTTTACTTCTCTATTTAATGAGAAAAGTGTGTTGAAGTTTTATTTATCTCAATACAAATCAGTTTGCTTGCAACATAGCATTCAAAGCTGCTTCTATGTAGGCTACATCTGTGCTCCAGGTGTAGAAAAAGACATGCTTCAAATATCCATCTAAATATTTTTAATATCAGCAGACATTGTTTTATTTTGTATATATAGATGCAAATATACATATAAAATATATGAAATATGTATGTGCATATACAACCTTTTAATAAACTAACATAATAACCACCAAATTTGCAATTGACCATCAAGAAGACCGAAAGACAAACATTATCACACATGAGCTTGTTTATTATAAGTGAGAGGCACATTAGCCAACCTGGGTTACAAATGAGCCTGTCTATGCATTTTCAATTCCTTCTTTATGATTAATATATAAAATTTGGTAGAATTATGTCAGTACCACCAATGTATTCTTGACCAGGACTTGAACCTGGGTATCCTGGTTCTCAAGCAGTGACCCACTGTAACCCACCAATAAATACACATATACATATACACAAAGTCACATTCATGCATAGACACATTTACAAACACAATCACATAAACTCAGCTATATATATATATATATATATATATATATATATATATATATATATACAGTCACCTACATACATAGACACATTCAATCACATACAAACACAGTCAAATACATACCTGTTGACCTTAAATATCCTTTTAATTGGACTAAACTGGATATTAATGCATGGATGTATGGAGAAATATAATGTAATGGAAAAGATTTGCGTGGGAACAATGAACTTACATGCCTTCCTAGATTGATAAATGGAAGATTGCCCTTTGGTGCTTGATAGATGTTTTAGGTCCAAGCTGAGGTCATCTCCTATTTTTTCTTGAACCAAAATTGTATTAGATATCTTTGGAGATTCATCAGTTGACCCTGCCAAACTTAATATTTCTTCATCATTGGTTACCAATTTCACATTTGTTGGTTCCTCTGATTTATCGTCTTCAACTACTGTCCAACTGGAAGTTACAATTTCAAAGTCTTCATTACATTTGTTCTCCTTTGCGATTTCGCTGGTAATAATTTTTTCACCAAGACCTGAACTCTCATCTTGGGCTTCATAATTATTTATCCAGGGTTCATGTCCAGCTTTTCCATTCTTCTCTGAATCTACAAAATCACAAGACCGTCCATGTGACAACACAGGATCGCCTAACGAGGTCTGTGAAGTTAGACTGGAGTTCAGCATCATGCCCACTTCCATGTTACCTCCTGTACAGATCAAAATCTTTCTACAAGATTTGAACTAGTAATATATATTTTCATAATCTTTTAACTTTTCATGAAAACCAAACTATCTACCTAACTTATGTTTGGTATTTAATGTTCTTTGACTGTAAAATAACCAAATGCTATTATTGATGAGTTGCAGGAGTTTTTTTTCCTATATATATATATGTATTTAGCATCTGACATAACTACTTCATTTTTTCCATTTTTGAAAAGGAAGACACTTGGCTATTTTAATATATTACTCACTGTATTTTCATACAAAATAGTTTCCTTATGTTTTTTTTTTTTTTTCTCAACACAGATGGAAAGGAAAGGGATTGTGGGAATTTTAAAAGGCAGTTCTCCAAAAGAAACACTTTCCAAGCCCATTCAAATACAGGTTTGTCACTAGATCACAACTGCTCCTGTTTCTAATACTGCAATATCTGCCTTGCCAATGTGCAATCCTTCCTCTTCCTTTGGAGTTTTCCTGTTTTGTTTCCTAAAACAAAATAAACAGATTAAAAACTAGAAATGGGAACAGGTAGGAAATCATATCATATTATATCAGACACAAAATTATGATGAACATCTTCCAAACTCATGGTTAAAACTGCACAGAAAGATCACTAGAGTCCAGGTGTGAGGTATAGGAAAACTGGAAATCTGTCATGTTTTTTGTTATTTGAAACACAATATTACACATATGACAGCCTCTGTGTGTATTATTATCAATGTCATACATATAAGTAAATACCTCTTTTCAGTGTCTCTCTTAGAGCTAATCCTTGCTATGTGATAATAGTCATCTCTAATTTCTCTTTGGTCAGAGACTATAATGCATGAACACTTTTATTTTATACCATAAAATAAATAAATATATATATATATATATATATCAGGTTTCCTTTAAGAGATGCTGATTGAATATCTTACCACCATCATACACGGAGAATTAAATGCATATTTATATAGAGGTGGAAATCATATAAGCTCTGGATTTAAACGTTATCACAAAATAATCTGAATAAAACCTACTAAGTGCCCCTGCCTGTCATCTTTTATCTTGATTTACATAACAGTTTTTCTTCTTAAGCTTTTTGGATATTTTTGTGGGCTATGGAAGATTTGCAAAAGAATGTATATACAATATTTTTTTTTCTTAAGACCAAATAAAAAAAAAATCAAAGAGTTTTTACAATTTAAACCCCCTTCTGCATTGGCCCATGTGTTGCTTATTCAATGCTTGAGGGTTTAAGCCGCAGTTACATAGTGCATATTCAGCAAAACAACGTAACAGGTCCGAAACCTGTTTACCAAACGCTACCATCTGGCTCAAGTTTACTATAACTCGTCCTGCCAGATCTGGTTTTAAAATTAGGTTGGCAGATTTCAATGTATACACACGATAAACAATCGTTTCAACATAAAGAAAGTCTACATGGCACGTGTTCAACATGAAGTCATTTTACTGCTCTGTGGAACCCGTTCTACATCAGTTCAAATTGAAAGGAAATTAGCCAGATTCTACGCCAGACAGGTTTGATAAAATAGGTGTCTGTTTATGGTTGGCACAATCACTACTAAATATGGAAAAGGTTTTATACTTTCACAGACTGGTTGTCTTATAAACTGTATGAATTAAAGTAGCAGTTATGTTTTTATTTGTTTTACTCTCATTATACCCCTTGTATGTTAATGATTATACACCCCTATTTGTTGATTTTGTTACTATATATTTATTATCTTTTCTTCCTTAAAAAAGCAGCTATGTTCATGTCTTACTAACACATAGATGCATTAAATATAATAGTTATGCTTATATGTACAGAAAAATTATTATCACAGCAGAAAATTGCTATTATTATTAGGGTTTAACCATGTGAGGCTTTATAGTCAGATTAACTTATGATCCTTCTGATTTACAAAGCAAAACAATATGCTTTTAATCGAACTTAATAAATGAGAATAATTATTCTCCTCGTGAAAACAATTTCTGCTACGCTACATTTAGCTAAGGAAAGAATTCTCTCCACCCTGCCTTTCTCTTTCTCAACCACACATAGATCATGCCTTTCCTACCCTTCAGACTTTCTCCCCAGCTACTGAACAAGAGGTGGCTGTGCTGCTCCGTTCCTCACGCCCCACCACTTGCCCACTCAATCCTACCCATCTCACCGTATCAGATCTCTCTCTCCTTGTCTTGCACCTTCCTTAACACACATCTTCAACTGCTCTCTCTCTCTTCTGGCATTGTCCCAGCTGACCTTAAACATGCCACTCTAGTACCTATCCTGAAAAAAAATCTCTTGACCTGTCGTCCCCCTCTAACTATTGTCCCATATACCTGCTCCCTTTCTCCTCAAAGCTTCTGGAAAGACTTGTCTTTACTCGTATATCTCGCTTCCTCAATTCCAACTCTCTTATTGACCCTCTTCAATCTGGCTTCCGCCCTCTCCACTCTACTGAGACTGCTCTTATCAAAGTTACTAACGACCTAATTGCAGCTAAATCCAAAGGCGACTACTCCATACTAATTCTTCTTGACCTCTCTGCTGCCTTTGACACAGTTGATCATGCTCTCCTACTTTAAACTCTTCAATCACTCGGTCTCTGTGACTCTGTCCTCTTGTTGTTTTTCTCTTATCTCTCCCAACGCTCATTCAGCGTCTCCTTTTCTAATGATACCTCCTCCCCTCGTCCTGTCTCGGTTGGGGTCCCCCAAGGCTCTGTCCTTGGTCTCCTTCTATTTTCTCTTTATACTGCCTCTCTTAGAAAACTTATTACCTCTTTTGGATTCCACTACCACCTGTACGCTGATGACTCCCAGATATATCTCTCCTCCCCGGACCTCTCCCCTGCCGTCCTGCAACGTGTCACTGCTTGCCTTTCTTCCATCTCTGACTGGATGTCCTCCCGCTTTCTGAAACTCCATCTCTCTAAAACTGAGCTCCTTGTCTTTCCTCCTCCTAATACTGATCTTCCTCTCTCGCTCTCCCTTCAAATAAGTGGTATCCACATAAGTCCATCCTTGCAAGCGTGCAGTCTTGGCGTCATTTTTGACTCTGGCCTCACATCCTGTATGTTGCCAAATCCTGTGGATTACATCTTAAAGACATAGCCCGCGTCCACCCTTTTCTTATTCAAGATGCTACCAAGGATCTTGTCCATGCTCTAGTGATTATTGAAACCTCTCCTAATTGGTCTTCACAAAAGCCGTATTTCCCCGCTATAGTCTGTAATGATTGCTTCAAAGTGCTAACCCATACCTATAAAGCACTGAACAATTCTAGCCCCACTTATATCTCTTCACAGATCCATAGGTATGCCCCTTCTCGGTCTCTCCGCTCTGCCCGTGAGCTTCTCCTGTCCGCTGCTCGCACAAACTCACGCTTGCAGGACTTCTTGCGAGCGGCTCCCTTCCTATGGAATACCCTGCCTACCGCCATCAGACTCTCCCCTAGTCTTCAATCATTTAAGAAGTGCCTTAAAACTCATCTCTTTAGAAAAGCTTATGGCCTACTTGCTCTCTCCTAAAGGGCAGCACTCTACTCTCTCTTACAGCTCTGCTTCACTCCCACCTTATTTGATTGCTATTTCCTGTCCTATTGTGTTTTACACCCCACCTCCTATAGACTGTAAGCTCATTTGAGCAGGGTCCTCTTCAACCTATCGTTTCTTTAAGTTTTCTTGTAATTGTCCTACTTATAGTTAAATCCTCCCCTCTCATAATATTGTAAAGCGCTACGGAATCTGTTGGCGCTATATAAATGGCAATAATAATAACAATAATAATAATAACAATAATAATAATAAGTTACAGTGACCTCAAAGAAATACATGTAATTGATGTAGGTCTTGAAATATATGTTTTATTATTCTTACGTCACTTCATGTCCATAACATGAGAGACATACTTTGTGAAATCCCCTATTTAAACAGATGGCAAATTGTGTTTATTACACTCTTGGGATATTTCTGCATCTTTACAGTATTTTCTTTTTAAGCTGTTCACATTGAATATAAAATAAATGCAGCAATTAATTTTTAAATAATTATTCACAGGGAATTTCCAAAGGATTTCAGCAACCTTTTAACCCTTTCATCCCGCAAGTGAATCGTGCAATTATACACTTGCACTTGAAATGCCCTTGAAATGCTCTAATCAAAATAATTCTAGTTTGTGAAGCTCAACAAGTTCTGCTACACCCTTAATAACAATTGCATATAAGTATATATGAATAGCCCAACAATTTATAGAAATATATGTGACGGTCCTCACCCTCACTCTGTGTCTATTATGTTTAAGACACTTTATGTAGGTCCCCAGAACACTCTTAGGTTATAACACAACCTGTGCCCATTATAGGTGCAGGGTGTGTATTATTGTTAATTGTTAAATGTTTTGTGTACTCTCCTTTCCTGCTGATGCTTTCTGATTGCAACCCAGCGAGAGTAGGTAGAGATAGCCAGCCTCCCTCCCCAGCGGCAGAGAGCAATCCAGGGAGAAGAGGTAGTCAGCATCTCTCCCCAGTGGCAGAGTGAAACTAGGGAGAAGTGGTAGCTGGCCTCCCATCCCAGTGGCGAAGTACAGCACAGGGAGAAGCAGTGGCGGATCCGGGGGGGGCAACGGGGCAATTGCCCCTCCCCCCCTGAGATTCTCCCCTGCCAGCTAGTGCAGGGCTGGCATTGTCCAAGTGCCAGCCCTGCTATGTGCCTGCGGATCAGAGATCTCCCTTCCCCGGTCAGCAGGCACCATGCTGACAGCCAGCAGGGGAGGGAGAGGACCCAGGAGCTCAGCCTGCAACTCCTCCGGGTCCTCCTCTACCGAGATTTGGAGAGTTGCCGACATACCATGGCAACGCTCCAAATCTCGCGAGAGTGAACTCTAGCCCTGGAGCTGCGGACTAGAGTTCACCTCACCACCACTGGGACCACTAGGGATTCCCCACTGGACCACCAGGGAATCCCACTGGACCACCAGGGAACAAAATATGTCCCCCCTCCTCTCAGTAAAGGGAAGAAGGGAGGGGGGACATAAATATATATATTTTATTAAATACATTTTTTTTAATTATTAAAAAGCCTCACTACCCTCCTTCCCCCCCCCATACAAACACTGCCCCCATACACACTGCCCCACAAACACTGTCCCCATACACACAACCCCCATACATACACTGCTCCCCATACACACACTGCCCAAAAACACAAACAGTGCCCCCATACACACACAGCCACCCTCACACACACACACTGCCCCACACATACACTGCCCCCTAACACACACACTGCAACCCTGACATACACTGCCGCACTCACACACACACTTCACCGCTCACACACTTCACCCCTAACACTCACCACTACTCCTATGCCCTATATCCCAGCAGACCCCAGGTAAGTTGTCAAACTGTTCTTAAACGGTATGACTACTTACTCTGGGGTGGGATCTTGGCACTACTGACACCATAACTACTACACTGAGCTGTAGTGGTTATTGTTCCTGGATTGGGCAGTCAGCCCACCTCTCCAGCAGCAAATTGAGCTCCTGGAAGAGAAGGTAGTCAGCCTCCCTCCTCAGCAGAATATTGCAACCTGGGAAGAGGAGGTAGTCAGCCTCCATTCCCAGCGGCAGGAGGAACTTCAAGAGGGAGGCAATCAATTCCATCCCCAACAGTACAACTGAGCTAGACAGTGGAGCTTTGTCCAGTGGGCTGCCAGGATGGATGGACTGATTGGAGGTCTGGTACCTGGTTACTCTACCCTTGGAAGGGAGTCACCATCACCAGGAGCATAAGACCGACACTCTATGTAGGTCACCGTATGACTCTTTTGTTTAAGTCACCCAGTGCTATAGGTGCAGGGTGTGTATTATTGTTAATTGTTAAATTCTTTGTGTGCTTTCTGCTCCTGCTGTTGCTTTCTACAAACAGGTGGAGTTAGCTGTGGAACCTGTACAGAGCCATCTGTTGATTGAGAAGATCTTGCAACAGTCATGTGTAGCTCCACCTGTTGGTTGCAACTGTTATGTGCACTACCTGAATAGCAGATTTGCTTAAAACATTATGCTTTTTAATAGGCAAGGGATATATTTCTTGTTATTTATTGTCTTCCCCATCCCTTTATAAATATATCATTGTGTTCTAATGAATTCCTGAATGTTTCCCCATATGATTTGGTGATATGCATTGAATTGAGTGTGTCACCATAAGCTTAATGTAATGTTACAAGGGCTAATCCTGAGTGAAAATAAAGTATTTAGTGTTAGTTCTTTTGGCAACTGTGCGGTTTGTTCAGGGATCCCAGTTACAGAGTTTTCAGACCTGTGGCTGGCTGCAATGATCCCTGATACCCAGGACTAATAAAGAGCTAGAGAGCCATAAGTGTCTTTGTAAAGGCAGTAGTCTGAGGCAAGGCAGGCAGAGGTATTGATACCTGCCTGGGAAAGAAAAAGAAGAAGCAAAGGCAGAGGGGATGACAACTGCCTGGAAGGAGAAAGCTGAAGCCTGGTCCAGTACTCAGAGACCCCAGTCAAGCTGACCTGGCAGAGGTACTCAGTACTGGAAACAAAGGTTTAGGAAGGGGAAAAGAAAAAGAGACACACAACAAGGTTGGGAGTTAAAGAAACACACAAAGGGGTTTGGGGCTAAAGAGACACACAAAGGAGCTATTGGAAAAATAATACACACAAGGTTGTCAATATTTGTTTTGGGGTATGCAATTAGCTTGTCTTGCCTAGGGAGGAAAATAGTCTATCACCGGCCCTGATGCTACTAACCAGGCTTTAAAAGTTACTCACCACTACAGATCATATTATACCCTCCAGGGGTGATTTTGTTTTTACTCACCAGGGTTACATTTTCACTACTAGCTAGTGACAAGTGGAAATTTTGAGCCCTACCTGATGGTATCTGCATCACTTTCCAGCAGTGTTTGAGTTAAAGTTTTAAAAGTTTTCCTGGTGTTTTAGAGGTCTCACTGTCTCATCAATGTGTTCCTTACTGTTTGCCAACATTTATGATTTAGCCTAAGGCTCAACTAAATGGCTGACTAACCGTTTACCCTTCCAAGGTATCAGGGACAAGCATAAGCTTGCATGTAACTACACGATTTGGCAGAGGAACACAGACACACATGGAGCTGGATTTCACAACAGACTTACAAAGTTTTATTATTATTTAAAGCTGTTTGTGGCTTTAGGTGTAAAGGTAAGAGCGTAGACCCTCAAACAATGCATCCTTTATCCTCTGTATTGTAAATTTGTAGCATGATCCCATTTCATGACATATATCATGTTGTTATGGTCTGCCAGACTAAGTTTGTAAACAGCCTTAAGCAGTGTATCAAGCAATGATTTATTTTATTTTTCTTTAAAACCACTATACATAATTATTAAATGAATACTATAATTAGAATAATGTAAGGGGAATTAGAGAAAGTCATGCAGACATATTAAATAAAGAAGAAATGGATTATATGGCAGCTTTCCATAATTACACATTTATTTAGGGGACCCAATCACAGTGCTTGTTGCATTCTAAGAAGAAATAAGCATTGATGTACATTTTAATATTATTATTTATTAAGTGTAAACAAATTCTGCAGTGCTGTACAAAAAGTTGGGTAAGACGCCCTTCTTAATGTGCAATCTAAGGAGAGTATGGTAAGATGACAAAGTAGTTGGTGGTGAGTAGCAGTTTTTGTAGATGACACAGTTACAGGAGAGGAAGGTGGGTTAGTGACGTGTGGGGCAGGGCCGGACTGGAGATACAAAGCAGCCCTGGAAAACAAATCTATGCCAGCCCCATAAATCATTGCGCCATGTATTGTCGCATGTAATATGTAAGGCTATGTATTGCCACCCCAGATGACTGAGTAATATATAAACACATATACACAGGAGAAGATGATTAATGGCATAGGCAAGCACCTTAGCTGCATTTGATGTTAGGTTAGGGTAGATGCAGCTAGGATAGATCTTTCTATCTATCTATCTATCTGTCTATTTATGTCTCTGTCTTTTTGTCTGTCCAATGGATTCAGAGTTGAGATGTGCTCTTGCCTACTTTTTACTTACTGTATAGTTAACACTGCTTTCAAACGTATTCTTTTGGAGACTTGGAATAGCTCTTGCAATTGTTTCCACCTCCACAAATATGTAAAAATGTTTTCATGCCAAATTGGAAATGAGATACTCAGAGTATGGTTGAGATTTTCTTAACCTCCTATCTGCCTTGAGAATTCTTTTTGGATAAAGCTTTTTTGCAGTTTAGAAAATAGAAATTCTCTATGCTTTGTCAACTAAGTTAGCACCCTATTTTAATTATCTAAAAGTGAAAATACTTTTTTTCAGTTAAATTATTTTATTTTTTAACACAAACATGTATTTGCTAAATAATGGACTGAAAAACAAGTTAGATTTAAATATCCTATTGGGAATAATAGCTATTGAGTTGTTTAGTCATCACAACTTACTGACTAGTAAGTAAAGGCCCAGATTGGCAGAGTTAACTAACTAAAGTGAGAATTAAAAGTGAATTTCAAATTTTAGGTCAAAGTAGTTGAACTTGAACCATAACTGACTTGAAGAATTTTCCCAGTCCAGCTATTTTTGCCTATAATTTAAAATTAAATTTGAATTCTCACTTTGGTGAATAACCCTGTGAATTTTATCCTAATACTTGTAAGGGCCCTGTATGAAAGGAGGATTAACTAGGTCAAAAGCAACTGGTGATTTAAACTATACTCAAAGTATGGACATTAAGACTGTTTCCTACAAAAACCCATTGGCGGTGGGGGGAAGCTAACCTTTTAGACAGCTATAAACATCCAGTAAACAACTGGTTTTTTAGCTGTCTGTCTATCTACCCGTTTATTTACCAATCTATATGGTAGGTACAAGTTGCACACAATCATTATATACAGCTAATTATTGGTTTTACTCCACAACATTATCTCCTCCTTTTCTACCATGTGTCTGCTGGGGACTGAACATTATTAATTGTCTAATGTAATATAATCAGTTTCATAAAGATCTGAACCAAAGCCTTCAGAAATAACCAAGGCCATGGACTTCAGGCCTGATGACCTTTATTTTGGCTGTTTTTGAAATAGCTCAGGGCCCATTTGGTATGTTTTATGACACAATGTTAAAGGGACACTCCAAGCACCATGACCACTTCACTGATTTGAAGTGGTCATGGTGTTTGTAGTGTATGTGCCCCAATCATGACATAGAGTGTTAAAGCCCTTTGCTATCAGAAGTGTAGCTCCATCACCAGCAGTGGTGCAGCTGAATCTTTTAGTGCCTGGTTGATGTGCTACAACATTAACTCCCTGATTCGTATTTTGATATTATCTGTAGAAAGATCTTGGGCTTTTTATTTTCTTTCGATCCACAGCCTGATTAATGAACCTTCAATGGTATCTTTTTTCATCCTGGAAATACAGCTGTACCTTTAATGCTTCACAGATGGAGGCAGGTGTTAGGGAAGACCCAACGTAAGTGCCATCATTTGAGCAATTTCATCTGTGCACAGAACTGAAAATGGAAATATATGCAAGCATATAGGGTTTTAAAACTGTTAACTTAGAAAGGTTTTTTTGGAGCCAATTGTGATCACTGGTATTATAATTTTTTTTCTTCTATGTATTTCAGAAAACATTATATAACTGATACATTAGGGAAATCTCACAGCAACTAGCCTTCTACTGACATAACATGTTGTACATTCCCTCCCCTCCTTGGTGTTATTTTAGGGAAATGATCACATGCATAAAAGCCCCTTTGTATGTTTCCACCATTCAACTTAAACACCGTTGGAGTTTCTCACTAAGATAACAGAGTTGAAGAAAGTAACACACATTCCTTGCCATATGTTAAAGGACCACTATAGGTACTGGGAACACTTCAGCTCAATTAAGTGGTCTGGGTGCCAGGTCCCCCTAGCTTTAACCCTGCAGGGTTAATCCACTAGAGGCCGCTTCCGTGATTTACACTGAGTAAATCACACTTAGTTGAGGTTGGACATCCTCATGGAGTCCAGCAGGAAAAAAGATCCCCAGCATTCAGCTCCACTCAGTAATCGCTCCTTTGGCCACGCATGCGCATTCAGCTCCACTCAGGAGCTGACATTGGCGGGCGAGGAGAGGTCACCAGTGCAGAGGGAGCACGACGCTGGATTAAGGTAAGTTGCTGAAGGGGTTTTAACCCAGCGCTGGAGTAAGGTAAGTTGCTGAAGGGGTCTTAACCCCTTCAGCGCCAAGGGAGGGAGGCTCAGAGAGAGGGGCACTCCAAGAGCCTATAGTGCAAGGAAAATGGGTTTGTTTTCCTGGCACTATAGGATCCCTTTAAATAAGCCTGGACAGGTTAATTTTTGTCTTTGAGCAAAGGCTATATGCAATCTTCAAGTCCTTTTGTTTACTTAAAGATTCCTCATGAAACCCACAGGATTGCTTTGTTGTCTTAATAGGATCCAGCTTTGTAGTTTATATGTCTGAATGAAATATGGTCTCCATGACCTTGGACAGAGCAGATCCCGTCATAACTTTAAACCTGCTGGATCTGTTCTGAATTCACAAGCAGAAAATGCAAGAAGAAAAGCTGCTATAGTCTTTACTTTACACTATGCTCACTCCTTTCTCTGCTCTGTTGCAAAAAGTGTATCTCGGCCTTCTCATGGGATGGGATTTCCCCTTTGGAATAGTAAATCCCACTGAACCTTAAGTACCATTTGTTTTATTCCTTCATTTCACCATCTGATGAAAAACCTAAAGAAGGAGCATAGCGCTAGAAGAATGCAAGGTGCACAACAGTGCTACTAACATTTATTGAATAGAAAATAATACAAACGTTTCAGGTTCTTGACCTTTTAGGAATGCATTACACCTTTAGAACCATTGCTCACGGCAAGGACAATCTCCTGATTTAGGTCAAATGCAGAAACCTCAAAAGGAAACCACTCAGTGCTATAGTCAGTGGCGTACCTATAGCGGGCGCAGGGGTCACAGATGCAACTGGGCCCATCACTCCAGGGAGCTTAGCTGCTCTGTCAACCCCTGCAGCCGGCCTAATTTCAAGGCCGGTGCACAGCCGCACCAGCCAGGGATACTCACAGCACAGTCCTCCTCCTCCTGCCGGCCTCTGTATGTAGCGTTGCCGAGCAGACCAACAGGAAGTGCTCACTGAGAGAGCCACGCTACATATAACATGAAGGAGATGGGGGAGAGACACATAGAGGGGCTGGGGTGGTGGGAGAAGACACACAGAGGTGGGGCCTGAGAAACATGGAGGTGCTGAGGGAGAAAAGGAGAAACACAGAGGTTTTGAGGGGGAAAGGACACATGTAGAGGGGCTGTGGGGAGAGAAGGCACTTGGAAGGGATAGGAAGGAAAGGAGGCACATGGAGGGCTGAGGGAAGAAAGGAGACACATGGAGGATGAGACACATGGAGGAGCTGGAAGGGGGTTGAATGGGATACATTGAGGAACTGAGGGGAGAATGTGACACATGTAGGGGCTGGGGGAGCATGAGTCACATGGATAGGTTGGGGGAACATGAAACACATGCAGGAGATGGGGGGGATGAGACACATGTAGGATCTGGGGCAGTAAAACATGGAGGGACTGAGACACGTGGAGGGACTGAGGGGTGAGGAGGATGAGACACATGGAGGGACTGGTGGGGGATTAGACACACAGAGCTGAAGGGGGGGGGTTGAGACACATGGGGGGCAGGGCAATATTTGCAATGGGGCCATGTGGTTTCTAGTTATGACTCTAGCTATAATCAAGTTAGTTTTGGGTTTTGGTTGCATTTTAAATCCACAGACAGTGGTGAGGAATGTTAGCAACACAGAGAGAACATTTTTTTAAATAAGAACTGCAGTATACTATCTTTGTTAACATCTGTGGTCACACCATTTGTAGAAGCATAGATCACCAGGCCACTGGCTAAACAATATTTCAAACATGAATGTTGCCTTGTAAGTATGCACAGCTTTTCTACTTCTTTTTTATTCTGGGAGAAATACTCATGATGGTGGACCCTCCATCTACATAGATATAGAGGTAATCGTAACCTCTTTGTACAGGTATCAAGGATTACCCCTAGTTATCAGATTGTGGCTTTCATTATTCTTCATTAAAAACTAAATGCATTTAATACATGACACCTGATCCTTTACACCTTATTGGCATATTCCAAAACAATTGGACCTAAAACTTCAATACTTCAATACTTACTATTGTAAGCCAGCGTGAGTACCATGACAAGGATCTGCTTCCCTGACATGAGCAAACTCACAGGCAAAATGATAGAGAGATTAGAGATTGTTTGCATAATAGAAAATATTCTGAGATTATTATATAATAGCATGCAGGTGCCCTGCTGATCATAGCGTGAACGAGAAGCCTGGGAATTATCTTTAGCACACCTTCTTCTTTAGATAGTCAATGCTGTACAGAACCAGCAGACAGCAAGACCCAGGATCCGATCACAGGAGAGCCAGGCAGCATGTTATCAAGTCATATGTTATACAGGAAGTCAGCTATAATAGCTAGCTCCATTTTGACAACGTTTCAAATTATTATCACAAGATTGCAATTATGTAAAAGATAAAAAGAAAGATAAGGAAGACTAAACACTTGTTAAGCCTGTGTATTCAGGAATACAACTTCCCTTAGACACCACATGACGTTTCAACAAATAAAGTAACTGACAATGGACTTTTCATAGGTACAGACAATGACAGAGATACAATGTTATTTGTATTCTCTCACTTATGGACTTTTATGGATGTGTATGTGTATGCCTTTTTAGGCGTTTCTTTATTAACCCGGATTGTTTATGAAACTTTGTTTCTTTATTAAATTGGATCTGTCATCTAATAGTCTATAGAATAATCTATTTAAAACACCATTCAGCACATAAATAGTAGTTTGATCTAAACACATCGCAGTCAATTTATCTATAAATTTCATTTATAAATATGGAAATGACAATTATGAAATTGCTTCCAGAATTTTATTAGAAAAAGGCGGCAATACAGTTTTCCAAGAGAGAGACACACAAAGGGGCTGGGGGGAAGAAAGAGAAATGCAAAGGGGCTGAGGAAAAGAAGAGACAAGGGTTGGTTGTAAGAGACACACAAGTGGGTGTAAGACACACAAAGGGGGGGATAAAATACACTAAAAGGTGGATATGAAACACTAAAGGGGTAAGAGATTCAAAATCGAGAAACAGGTGAAGATGCTTTTTCATGGGGGGTGATAGGTGGCGACAAAATGCATCTTCGCCTGTGTAGCCAAAAGTCCTTGCACCGACCTGCATAGGTCAAACAAATACACACAGCCAAAACCAATATTTAAACAATAAAGAAGGCCAACACGCACGTAGTTATGAGCTCAAGAATGCCTAAGGTACACACAGCACAGCCAGTGGTGTATCCTGGTTTTGTGCTGCCCTAGGCATGAGAAAACTCAGGCACCCCCTCCCCCCAGCCCGCCTTCTAAATACACATAAACACTCACTGACAAACACATTTACACTCAGTGTCAGACACACACTTTCACTGACAGACACACATACACTAGCTAACAGACATACACACTCACTGACAGACATACACACTCACTGACAGACACATACAGTCACTAGCAGACACACACAGTCACTAACAGACACGCATACACTCTCACTAACAGACACACATACTAATACACTCACTAACAGACACGTATACACTCAGGGGCGTATTAGCCGCGAGGCAAACAAGGCATTTGCCTTGGGCGGCATTTTTCAGGGGGCGGCAAAAAACGCCGCCCCCCAAATGCCCAGGGCAAATGCCTAGTTAGCCTCGTGGCTAACTGACATCCCGAGCGGGCGGGCGGCGGTGGCAGGCGGGCGGCCGGCGAGGGAGCTCTTCCCATGAGCTGACTGCTCAGCTCCCTCGCGCGTCGGCCGCAGAGTGAGGCTGGGAGCCGGAAGATGACGTCATATTCCGGCTCCCAGGCTCACTCTGCGGCTGACGCGCGAGGGAGCTGAGCAGTCAGCTCATGGGAAGAGCTCCCTCGCCGGCCGCCCGCCTGCCACCGCCGCCCGCCCTGCAGCCACTGGACCACCTAGGGCAGCACAAAACCAGGATACACCACTGTATACACTCTCAATAACAGACATGCATATACACTCACTAACACACACACACAGTGCGCGCGAACAGGAGGATTAGTGCTCCCTCGCCGCCCACCTGGAAAGTTCCGCCACTGCTAGCCTGGGGGGGCCCTGAGGTGGCCACCCAGCCAGCTCCTGGGCCCCCTAGGACAAAAGGGTGGCAAGGCATTTGCCAGGGCGATTGGGGGCAGCTATTTTTGCCACCCCCCAGAAAGTGCCACCCAAGGCAAATGCCTTGTTTGCCTCGGGGTAAACACACCCCTGAGTACAGCCCAGACCAGGAAATGGAATCAAGAATATCTTGAAGAATAAAAGCTTAGTAAGAGATGCAGTGATACATAAATGACTGCTTTTAGTATCTAGCTTTGTCATCTGTCTAGAGAAAGTACTTCCGCCTGACTACAGCTGGGATCTGCAAAGAGAACATTGTTCTGCAGTTAATTGGGGTTCCAGCAGAGCCTTCCGTGACTTTCTGACTGGAAAAAAATGATGAAGTCGATTTATTCTTGCAGGTTAGGGCATAGGTAGCATTCTCAGACTACACCCTTATCATTTCCTGCAGAACAGACACTTTCCCAGACTAGGGTGGCATAAGTCATCGTATACTTGGGGTGTTATTTGCCAATTCAGATTTACTGAACAATATTCACCCCTAAATTAAGTTGTCTAGTATATTATTATTATTATTATTATTTATAAAGCACCAACAAATTCCGCAGCGCTGTACAATGGGTATATAATTAGCCCTACCTCCATGCACAGCTCTGAAAGGATCCCACAAATGTTACTATTACATGAAGCTAGTTATCAAAAGGTTTGTTGTGGAAACTTACGTAATGGTAAAACAAAATGATCTATGTACGTGGTGGCAAATTAAATCACATAATTCCGGGTAGTATTACACTAATAAATTAATGAGTTAATTGTCTCATAATTCAAAGGAATTTTGGCAAGCTATAAAGACACATAAAGGTTTATATGCTGGCATCCTTATAAGCAGGCTTCACAGAAGGGTTATTTAAAGAAAAATAAATTATACATAAGTCATTTAAGATTATTTTCTGCTTTATTTCTATACTAAAACATTAATTACCCCAGGTTATATAATGAAAGATATACACAACAACCTACTAGAATGGGACAATCTATATGTTAACAAAATGATCTGTGGCATAGATGCTTTTCCTGCAGCCTGCACCCTTTTTGAGAAATTACACTTTGCACAGTTTGCAATCCTCACTCCTCTAGTGGCTGTCAGACTACCAGCAGTGGCTTCTGAATTAACACAATCAAAGGAGTGTAAAGTCAAGGGGGTGAATTAAAGGAATGCAAAGTATGCATTCTCTGTGACCAATGGTTTGGCTGATCACAGAGTTTGCTTTATATGTGCAATACATCTCTGTTAGAAGCATCTTATTGGAAAACATCATCAATTTTCAGTAAGAGAGGACCAGGCTGCAGTCAGGCTCTTGGCTCTAAATTAAATCTACGTTTCAGGTGATTTTTAAATTGAATCTAAAGTTATAAAGAAACATAGGGGTCTTTATATATATATTAGAGTGTTCTAAAATCAGTGCTTTTTTAAAACAATATTAGTATATATGGTAACTCAATGAAACAAATAGGATAGGAGTTTATTTATTATTTAAAGATTATGCTGAGTTAATTACACAATTTGGGCTATATCTTGACTAAGTTGGAGATTTCTCCAGTTTAGCTTTTTTACCTTGAATTTTACAAGTCATGTCTCATCAATGTGGTTATTCATTAAACACCAGATTTTATCCGCCTGGATAAAATCCAATAAAAATGACTGTATTCTGTGTCAGAATTAAGTTGGCCCGAGCAAACCTTAGCACTTGCATTAATGCATTCGGTGTTTGCATTAAAATTGGTGCTTTCCCATCCGAATCCTATACAAGGTAATTTTAATAAATTGTGTGACCTAATGCATCTGGCAGAATGCACGTTCGCAAATTATGATTCACTGATATGATAATTTTACAAACTATCTACCCATTGACAGTGCTTGCAGCCAGCGAGCCAATGGTTAAAAAAACCAAAAACCTCTGCAGTGCGAGAGTTAATTAAGGGTGGCCAGGACTTGCTCTCATGCTGCCTCATTAAAAAAGTTAAATAAATTAGAAATAAGTAAATATAAATGCTACATTTACCCACCCCATTTAATTAATTAGAGCTCTCATCCAATGCCCATAGTGGTGACATTAGGTCTTTGCCCCAGGCTATTATTAGGGCCCCCACCAGCTGCCAATGAGGGGTGCCATTTGGTCTCCCCCCTCTGAATCTCATAATAAATGACCACGGGTGGGTGCATAGGGGACATAAGGATGCCTCCCCCCCCCCCTTAATTTTACTAAATATCCAGAGACAGGAGGAACACTGGGTTGGACAGTAATCTGTAAACAGTAATTTATTTAAAAGTACCCACCTGATGCCCACAGGTTGGGGTGAGGGGAGGAATTTATGTCATCCCCCTGTTATTTCACAGGCCCTATCCCTGTGGCAGGTGGGGGCATAGGGAAGTTTAAAACCACCTTTGCAGTAATGCAGGGGTCTGATTGACCCCCGTAAGGGGTTTTAGTTATTTATTTTTTTAATAAAGCACCAGGGTCGTGAGACATAACATAATTAATATAATTTTAACTGTTTGCCCACTCGCTGCTAGTGCTGCCAGCTGGCAAATAGTTCTTTTTTTTTAAATCCAAGTCTGGATTTATTTCATTACTTGACTTTTATTCCATTAAATCCTTTTGAGTGCAATACTGCTATTTTGTGAGAATTTTCAGAATTTGAGGAACATTGCTGCTGGCGCTGAACCCAAATTATGGACCGTTCTGTGCCTGAATGCATACTGTTAAACAGCATGAGCAATATCTAGATCTAAATGGCACCGTACAGAGCCGGATGGTTTTACCCCATTTGGCACAGAGCCATTCGAACTTTAGTAAATAGCCACTTAAGTGTTTTGTGTTTTTAAATGTTATTTCAACAGTGTAAGCCTCAACACTGCCCAAGGTGTCCGTCAATCAAATCTGCTAGATATATAGCTACCTGTAAAACTCCAATCCCTACTATTATATGCTGTGTGTAAATTGCAGCTTAGGTTTAGGCCTGTGGAGCTAAAATATATCTGCTACAATTAAGTGACACTAAATCCCTAACTGACCCTTATCTCTTCCTAAAAAGCAACTTTGCCTTGCTGCTGTTGGAATATCGTAACTTGAGAAGAGACGGAGACAAAACAATGTGGTCTAGTCATTAAAAAATTAGCTAAAAACAAATTGCCTATGTACAATAAATACTGTAAAAACACCACAACCAAAAAGTTAAATATATTTATTCATTTTAAGTAGTTAGAGTGTAGCTGTTTGACTTTATTTAAAATTGACATACAATGTTTTCTTTTATACGTCCAATCTTTCAGTTTCAGCATAACCCTGACTCCCTAACATTATAGCACAGCTCTTCACTTTGTATCTTAGAGGTAACAATCACATCTAAAGTGTTTTAAATAAGATAGGAAATCACCTCCAGGGTCAAACAGCATGGAGAAGGAGGGGTTAATAATCAAAGAAAAGCAGGCCAATGGGCAGCCATGAATCAGGATCAGCCCACTCAACCAGTCACGTGTAACGAACCATTTATAAGAGGTATGTGGACTGAGGTACAGTGGCAATTGTTGAAGTTGACAAGTATAGGGATGATTGACTCTACCCTTGGAATTTGTCTCTGCTTCTGACTTATTGGACTCATTTAACATTTTGATCCAATGAGAAATCATGTCCTGTTCAATACCGTAATAAGCACACATATTTGGGATGTAACAACCACTTTAAAGAGGTCTTACTCCACCCCTCAATGCTGTTAAGCAATGACCACCCTAGAAGACGGGATAATACACAGGACTGTCTTTTAGAGTGTCCAGGATCTGACAGCCCACAGCCAATGGGTGTCTTCAGAAATCCTCTTAAAGTAACCTCTGTAAATACTGTTCATATCAGTTAATAGTGCAAAACATACAACAGAGGCATGCCCAGAAAGGGGAACGAACAAAGTGGGATAAGTGCCATCAAGAACCAATAGTTATGAGGTATGCCAAGTAATAGTCCTATTCAAAATTTCCCTCTTACTACATCTTCTTATTGAACCCCATTACCATGAACTTCTGAAGTGCATGAAGGTTCAAGATACACCAAGTGGTAAATATACAACAGATTAGAGAACTCAGATGTGGAGTATTTGATCATGTCTCTAGTGAAGGTTAGCAATTTCACTCTTCAATGGGTTTTAAAACGTCAACTAAAGAAATAAATACACGATAAGATAAAACAATAATCAATCATTCCCTCTTTGTTCCTTTAAACTATGCACGTTAAGGTCTTTAAGTGTTTCCTGAGGTTTAGAGTAGATTGCCAGTTCCCCGCCTTTTCCTTTTCAGCTCCACTATAAAAACATGAATTCCCTATTCTATTTTTTTTCCTAACCCATTAAGTATCCTTTGTCATACCCATGGGCTGCTACAAATCATACACTTTTAATTCAGTTTATTAAAAAAACTAATAACTATTTCTAGTTAGCCTTGTCTTCCTTTGAGCACATTGGGCATTAAAGGAGAACGATCAACATTTTCATTATTATTGAAATTAAACAGCACATCATTTATTACAAATGATGAATGTATTATTTTATAATAATTACATACATTATTATAATATAGTAAATACCTCCTCTCAGTGCATCTCTGTGTTTACGTTTGCTTCAAGGGGGTCGCCATTTTTAAGTTAAAAGCATCAGTGAAGTCTCCAAACCATGGGTAATATGAAGGTTTTAAAGGAACCCATATTGAATTTGTAAACACCCACTAGGTTTTAATTATGTGCATGGTCTATGGTCAGTAAATTGTGCATCTGAGGGGATTCAATGATGGCTGCTTTCCATGGAGCAAGGGTAAATCAAGGTATACAGTGTTTGCTTATATGTATGCATTACAAAATAATACAAACAGTCTACACAGGTTTTAGAATTGTGATGGAATTCTACACTGAAAATGGTCAACTATTTAAAGAAACATTCCAAGTACAGTTTCTATTACAGTGTGCTGTACTGGTTCTAGTGCCAGGAATGCCCAGACACCCTCTATCCCCATTGGCAGTATTTAAACCATTTAGAATGATTAGACTTCTTACCTGAGCAGTGCCGTATACCACTCCTCGTCTCCACTTCATCCAACAGAGAGCTGAAAACTCTCTGTCTAAGCTAAGCCCAGTCTACACTCTCAGCCAATGAGCTAGCAATCCACTACTTGTCTCATGAGAGCTAATCAAAGTTTCTAAGTTTATGCGTCCAGTTCTCTGTCTACTGTATTGGAGGTGGGGAGCAGTGACCAGTGGACCCCAGGTAAGGCTGCTTACAATGGGCGGGAGCTCCAGAGCACTTCTGGTACAAAAACCAGAGTGCACTGTAGTGGTTATGATGCTTGTGTTTTTTTCTTTAAGTGGTCATTATGGCAAAACTTACTATAGTATGGTTCAGTTAGTATAGCATTCATCTGTTCATGTGGATAAATTACTTTAACCTGAATTATTGATGACAGATTCAGTGACTATCTCTCTTTAAGCACATAGTTATTCATATATATGTAATTTAAGAGTCAGTACAGTAACTGTTGGTAATTACGATCACAAATAATCTAAATGTCCTTTGCTCATCTTTATACACTGTGCAAACAAAAGTCTCATCAGATAATTATCAGATAATACTTTCTTTCTGCTGTTTATATATGTCTATCAAAGTCAAAACTAACATTCTGCTTATATTGCAGGCTTAGGTCAATTGACAGGTGGGGTGATTAAAAAGAAGAACTTGATTTTATTTTCACTTCTTAAAATTCTAGTCCATTAGTGTTCACATGCAGAGCTAAGCACAACATGTCACAAGCCCTCCCTCACTAAGCATGATGGAGTACATACAAATGGCTTGAGAATAAAACATGCTAGCAGTATGGTTCACCTCACAAACACACATACAAGACCAACATATATAGAGAGCGCACATTCGGCTAATGTTACTCCTAGCCTGCCAGTATGGATTCTTGTACCTGACAGAGACACATGTGTGACTCAATAGTGGGTGCCTGTGATTAAAAATAGCTAATGTCATGACTCCAGTAGTTATAACTAGGGTTACCAGATTCACCATGTTTTAACGTGAACATATTGATGGGCAGCACATGAAAAGATAGTCCTGTAGTATGAAGAAGGTGTATTTGGTTTTTGACAATCTTCAGTTGAGAATTAAATACACCTGTATTGAAGTCTCATAACCTCCATCTTAAAGGACCACTCTAGGCACCCAGACCACTTCAGCTTAATGAAGTGGTCTGGGTGCCAGGTCCAGCTAGGGTTAACCCATTCTTTTATAAACATAGCAGTTTCAGAGAAACTGCTATGTTTATGAATGGGTTAAGCCTTCCCCCAAATCCTCTAGTGGCTGTCTCATTGACAGCCACTAGAGGCGCTTGCGTGCTTCTCACTGTGAAAATCACAGTGAGAGCACGCAAATCTAGGAAAGCATAAATGCTTTCCTATGACCGGCTGAATGCCGCGCAGCGCGCGCGCGCGTGAACCGCATGGGGGAGAAGAGGAGGATCGGAGGAGGAGAGCTCCCCGCCCAGCGCTGGAAAAGGGTAAGTTTTTACCCCTTTTCCCCTTCCAGAGCCGGGCGGGAGGGGGACCCTGAGGGTGGGGGCACCCTCAGGGCACTATAGTGCCAGGAAAACGAGTATGTTTTCCTGGCACTATAGTGGTCCTTTAACAATGGGATGATATATCACATTCCTTATAGGCGCTATCATGCATTTATATGTACAATCTTTGCTAAAGAAGCATACGTATAACTCCAGAAGAAGGGGAGGAAGTAGAGGGAAGAATGAGAAGGATGGGAGGAAGAGATAGTAAAGGTGAGAAAAAGAAGGTATATAAGATTAAGTAATTACGCAATGAAGAATACCGCAAAATATGCATTATACGTACTGCAGGGCAACCCTTTTCATCAATGTGAAAAAAATATTATATGTGTCCCTGAAAACATGGAGAATCTAGTAACCTTAATTATAAACCTAATTATAAAGCTTACCTTTAGAGTTAGTATACACTATGGTTACAGGGATAGGGGATACGAATATACCCATTAGAGTATGAGCCAGAAAGATGCTCACAAGGTGAATTAAATGTGTGCAAACAGTCAAAGCAGTTTACTTAGCCTGGTCACGCTGGTCCATTTTTATAGAGTGCTGCGTGAGGGACAGTTAGTGTCAATAGTAGAGCAATAATGTATCTAGGTTGATTTCCACTGTTAGGATTACAAAGATTAGAGTTTCTGGATAAACACACCTAGAACTATCTCAATAGAAAGGCATACCTAGATCCAAATCAGGTTAGTTTGCAGTATAAAATCAACAGATTGCTCTCCAAGCTAAAGCAAAATCCATAGGGACATTCCAGGAACAGCTAAATGTGGACAGATTTTGGCTCATTTGTGCACTCTAAATGAAGTTGTTGTATCTCCTGGAGGCTCTGGGATACAGCCTTACCATAAGGGGTTAAACCGTACTCAAACCTCAAAGGTATATTTCTTTCCAAGACAGTTTTGTGAACAGGGAGTGGCAGCTGACAACTCTCAGCCAATCAGCAGGGTTCCTGACTGGCAGGTGAAATTTCAGAGGCCTTGTACAACCTGAGGGGAGTGGAGGTCGCCACATGAGGCAATTTTGAGGGTTAAATCATTTGGTAACATTTGAGGTTTAACCCCGTGAAGTAAGAGTGTCTCTGGGTTCCTCCAGCGCCATAACAACTTCATTTAAATGAAGTTGTTTTGGTGCATGGAGTTTCCCTTTAAGTCTGCCAGTTCAATTAAAGTAATTAAAAATGTATTTCTAATTAAGTGATCAGGTGTTGACAAGAAATTATAATTAATATGAAACTTTAGTAAGAGTTCTGGAAAACAGAGCATGCAGCCCAGGGACCAACAAAGCTAAGGGAATGGGCCTTGACAGAGCTAGGAGGCAGGCATATGGAGTGGTGGGTGTTTATTGGTTAGCTTGTTGTGGGGGCAGGGCTTAATTTGAAATCAGATATTAATAATGGACATTTTTGATTAGGGTCCATTTTAATTAGCCATACTTACCTGTTGTTGTCCCACCCTCCATCCCTTATTTATTGGGGTATTTTATTTTCTTCTTTTATCTCATTTGATCACAGTGACGGGGGTTGGATAAGAAATTGGGGGGGGGTAGGCAGGATTGGTAGCTGTGATGTTTTGAAGTTTGGTAACAATATTCACATGGTTGAATTTGTTAATTGGTAGGTTGGAGCCCATAGGTGGCTTTCAACCTTGGTGTGTAGGGGTATCTCAGTATACCCCTGCAATGAGTATGATTCCTGTTGTGGCTGTGTCTTGTGTAATGTTATTAATTTTTGTTATGTGAATTATTGTTAGCAAATGCTACGGGTCATTGTCAGTGGGTGCAGTGCTGTTAAAAGTTAGGGTGATTTATGTGTCTATGTTAAAATTGGGTATGTTTGGCAATGACCCACTTTGTTATTTATATATTTAATTATATATATTTTATTAAAGCAGTGATATTTTATCCACTTTAAATCTGGTGTCTGTGTCTTTTTGGGGGGTTTAAGGTTATTGTTTTATGACATATGCAAAAAGGACGACTATGTGCATGCCATGGCTTATACAATGTTTACACCATTAGCATCGACTCTTTCCTACATCACTAGATCCATCAATGTCAGACTTTCATGACTTTACTCCAGAAACCCACTTAAACCATCAGTGCAACAGAGAACACATCTGCCTGTATCTCTCTGCAGTATGAACTTGCCATAAATTACTCTTTACTTAAAACATTGAGAGATTCGGAGACCAACATATCTTCAAATAAATCATATAAACCCTTAACGTAGGTGTAGCAACTTGTTTATAATAAAATCATAACAAAATTAATAATTCAGTGGCTGCATATTTGCTGTATCATTGCACAATTTGGAAGTAGCAAAGGTCAAGATAATAGTATGTATAGCTTGTTCTTTCCCAGATCATAAACCACCCTAACCACACCATCCATACACATTAGTGTACATATTGACATACCACTGTATGTACATTGACTAATACTATATCTGATGTATGTACATGTATCACAGTTTTAAGTCATGATTTAGTTGAGTGTACTGTAGATAGCAAAGGCTACTGATCATACACATCAATCAATACTCTGCACACAAATACTCAAAAAGGTTAAAATTGTTCAAAAACGCAGTGAATATATGTGTGCAATTTTCATTAGTAGTGAAAACATATACCTATTTATTTTTCCATCCAGCCATCCAGCCATCCATCCATCCATCCGTAATTCATTAATTCCATCCATCCCACAGCTTCTCTCTCCATTTTTTATCTACTTCTTCTTCTCCCTATTTTTCTTATCTTCTCCCTTCTCTTTTCCCCTCTATCTTTTATAACATAGTATGACAAACTGCAGGTTAACTATAGAATAGGTAACGAAAATGAACAAACACACAAAAGCCAAGCATATTATATGTAGGAACTTCACATATAGAGTTTTGCTTTTTTCTCTTTCATATTTTTTTAATAATATATATACACCTGCTTTCCCCCAAAACACAGGTAACAAGGAGTACAGAGATACATAATGAAGTCAGGCTATATCCCAAGAATCAAATTCATTTATCAAAGCCTCAAGCCAACAACATGTTACATTGAACAGTCCAATAAATCATTGTGAAAGATAAACCCCATAATATAGTGATTTATTCTGACATTTCCTGTTTACTTTCTTTTCTTTTTTTTTTTTTAAACTACTTTTGCTTCTAAATCCCAACTATATTCCCAAAACATTTACTAATGCATTACACTGAAATAATATAAAAATTGTTGCTGCAATCCTGGTTTAAAAAAGTTAAAAATGTATATACTTCTAATCACACAGAGAAGTTTTCATATTTCTGTGTGCTGCATGTGTGCTGCATGTGTGCTGTTACTATTGTGTGAACTTTCTTGTGCAGCAAGCTATAGGTAGGTACACGATATGACCCCAATTGGATAAACATCATGTCAAATGTAGTCCACAGCACATGGAGTGCACAATGTTGCCTATAACGTTTATCCTAGTGTTTATGTTCTGTGCAACTATCAAGGCTGTCAATATAATACTATTTAGAATACAATCTTTCTAGATCTGCTGAGATCTGTATGCAAAGACTTACCTTTTTCTAGAATGTCTTAACAAGGAACCCCTGTTCCAATACTTTCACCTATCCTGAGTGAGCTGGCTGCCTTAACTCATACACATTTGTATACATTCTGCCTCACAGCCTGAGCTCTCCTCTGTCACTCAGCAGCCCCAAGTCAGGAAGAAGGCAGGGAAAATGAGCACACAGAAGAGAGGGGGTGTGGAGAGGGGAGTTTTACGAAACAGAGTACCTATTGTCTGGAAATTTCAGCATATGGTATATTTCATACATACTGAATGCATTAAGCCAGTATATTTTTAGTTGTTTGGGAGACTGAGATGTAGAAATAAAAGCGTAGAGATCAGATAAGTAAAATAACATTTTAAAAGGTTGAGGGGAGCAGACCAGAAATTTTCAGATATTTTTCATAACGACAGATCCTTTCCTCATCATTCCTCGTTACGGTTCTTGAAGAGTGCAAGGGTTAAACCATTGTAATAACAGTCCCATTTTATGTATAAAGGGTGGCTGATCCGGATATGACTAGAAAACACAAATGTAAGCTGTAACGTGTCACCTGTAGAAAGCTAACTATTTTAATACTGGTACTCATAAAAAATCCAGCTTGCAAAAATTGAAAGATATTCAGTTGCCTGTATTCGAGTAAGTGTACACCTTTTAGGAAGGGACCAATTGGGGAGGTTCAAATAGCAAAAAATTAGTGAAGAATGTGAACGAGTCTATTTCAGGCTGAGTAACCCTAAGAATCCACTTATTAACCCCAAGACCTTGAGAGTCTACCATTCACGCCGCAAACCTTCCAGTTCACTTTGCGTAACCAAAAATGTCCATTTACTCTGAGAATCTGTTTTATATAGTGGGAATCTTTCTGTTCACCCAAGAGCCTTTAGAATCTTTCCACGCACCCTAAGATTATTTCTATTTATCCGGGACAACATAATAATCTGCTGAATTACCATGAAGTCCTGAGAAACTACCCATTAATCAAAAGATCCAAATAACCTGAATTACCTAGAACATTCAGGCTGTATTTTGGATTAAAAATCCCAGAAAACTTGAGCCATATTTGTTATTATAAAATGTAATCATAGTAAAGGCAAAGAAAAGACATCAGGGGCTTTGGGTTGAACCAAACAATCTAAATGTCCCTTTACCAGCCATGCCAGAGCAAACTTTGATCAGGGTAAAATTGAAAGTGCTACTTACAGATTCCAGGTGAAATATAACGTGTTGTCAGTACAGCTCTCACACCCGAAGTACTTTTACTAGCCCAGACCTGGGCAGAGTAATCACAGCTCTAGGACTCTGATCTTACTTATGGTTGTGGGTCAGAGGACACCAGAGAAAGACATCACAGTCACTGGGGAGATGTCTTATCAACCTCTCCTGTGCAATGCTAGTCATTGCAGCCATAGTGCTTGGAAACAGCATGCCTGTTATCAGATGCAACATATTATTTAGATTGCTAGCTTGCAGGAGCAAAGGCCTCTTATTTAAATAAAATGAAACCTTTGCAGTGAAGGTTGAAATGGATTATTATACAATATTTTCAGGTTTTATAGCTGCATTCTGTGAAAGCAAAAAACGTAAAATAAAAGCGGCACCAACACTTGTTACTTCTCAACAAGTGGAGTTGTTACTGACAGGTGTATATAATCCAGCAAAGAGCCACAAAACAAATGTAGACAAAAATTGCCAGTACAGTGGGTCATAATGAATAGCTCAAGGAGTTTAAATGTGGCACCGTCATATTAAGACACGTTTTTGGGGGGCGGAGCAAGCACCAGAGACAGCAAGACACACATTGCCATAGCTCCGTCTGCTAAACCCGCTAAAGACCGATATCGGACAAAAAAAATACACACTGCTCAACTCTAAACAGCTCCACGTGTGCCCTACGACATGGGGAAGAAAACGAAAAAGTCTCGAGCGGACCCAGGCCCGGGTTCAGAGGATATTGGGGCTTATATGCGCACGGCCATGCGGCCAGACTTCCCAAAGACGGCGCAGGCTGAGGCCTACTCCTCTCATTCGTCGGACGACGACAGCCTGTTGACCGACCTACCTGCTCTAGTACCGGCTCGGACAAAGCCCATGGTACCCACAGAGCTGGGGGACACTGCTCTGGCTACGAAAGCCGATATAAAGGCCCTGATGAAGGACATCCAAGCTATGTTTCAGGCTGACATGGCGCAGGTATGAGGGGAAGTCTCCACACTTACCAGCAAGGTGAACTCAGTGGAAGAAAATGTCCAAAACATCAGTGTGGCATAAACGACCGCAGATACGGCCTTACACTCATTGCAGTAGCAATGTAACTCACTGACAGCACAATTAGCCAATATGGAGGACAGGACTAAAGCATGCAACCTGAGAATCCGAGGAATTCCCAAAACGATCACTGCAGCTGAGCTGCCTCACTATTGCAGATGGCTTATAGCCACCCTCTTCTTGTCTAAACAAGCAAAACAGCTGGGAATTGACTTCTGCTTTCACCTACCCAGGGCCAGCAAAGCACTGAAAGAAGCCCAGAGTGATGTGCTAATAAAATTTGTGAGGGACTCTGACCGGGGATGCTCATGGGGGCTGCTAAAGGCTTTCCTTTGAGGGGGCACACCTGGCATTTTTCCGGGACTACTCCAGACACACCCTAACATGGAGGAGATCTTTCAAACAAATTACGCAGCAGCTCCAGGACAATTCCATACCATACAAGTGGGTACCCTCTTCTACATATATTAGATGCTCCTGCAGGGTTAAAACTAGAGGGACCTGGCACCCAGACCACTTCATTGAGTTGATGTGATCTGGGTGTCTGTAGTGGTCCTTTAAGTGTATGTGTATCTGCATGCACTGGCGTACATACCGTGGTCACATGGGTCGCAGCCCTGCGACCAGGTGCCCACCGCCATGTGTTGCGGCCCCAGCCCACGCAGAGTAAGCGTGCGGGGGGGAGCACGGATCAGTTTTCGCACCGGGGCCCCATGGGTTGTGTGTACACCACTGCCCCAACCCATCTTTAAATGTTAAAAACAACCAAAATATTTTTAAATGTATTTAGCACTGAGCAGTGTTTGTGTGTTTGAATGTAAGCATGTTTTTGTATGGAGTATGTGCAGTGGCGTACACACAACCCATGGGGCCCCGGTGCGAAAACTGATCCCTGACCCCCCCCCCCCGCGCACGCTTACTCTGTGCGGGATGGGGCCGCAACACATGGCGGCAGGCACCTGGTCGCAGGGGTCGCAGGGCTGCGACCCCTGCGACCACGGTATGTACGCCAGTGCATGCAGATAACCATACACTTAAAGGACCACTGCAGACACCCAGATCACATCAGCTCAATTAAGTGGTCTGGGTGCCAGGTCCCTCTAGTTTTAATCCTGCAGCTGAAAACACAGCAGTTTCAGATAAACTGCTATGTTTCACTGAGGGTTAATCCAGCCTCCAGTGGCTGTCTCATTCATCTCGGGAGGGGCACCAGTAGATTATTTAAATAAATAATCTAAACACAATAACCACTACAGCTCAGTGTAGTGGTTATGGTGTCAATAGTGCCGGGACAACCTCCCAGAGTAAGTAGTCAAACTGTTTAAGAACAGTTTGACAACTTACCTGAGGTCTAGTGGGAAATGGGGCTGTAGTAGGGCATAGGAGCAGTGGTGTGTGTGAGTGGTGCAATGTGTAAGGGGTGCAGTGTGTGTGTGAGAGGGGGACAGTGTGTGAGCAGTGTGTGTGTGTGAAGGTTGTAGTGTGTGTGAGGGTGGCAGTGTATGTCAGGGATGCAGTGTATGTGTGGGACAGTATGTGTGTGTGTAACAGTTGCAGTGTGTGTGTGTGAGTATTGCAGTGTATGTGTGAGTGTGGGCAATGTGTGTGTATGGGGCGGCAGTGTTTGGGGGCAGTGTGTGTGTATGGGGAGCAGTGTGTGTGTATGGGGGTAGTGTATGTGTGTAGAGTGTGTGTGTATGGGGGGCAGTGTGTGTGTGTATGGGGGCAGTATGTGTGTATGGGGGAGCAATATGTGCAGTGTGTGTATGGGGGCAGTGTGTGTATGGTGGCAGTGTGTGTGTGTGTATGGAGAGCAGCATGTGTATGGGGGCAGTGTATGTGTATGGGGCAGTATGTGTATGGGGCAGCATGTGTGTATGGGGGGGCAGTATGTATGGGGGCAGTGCATGTGTGTATGGGGGCAGTATGTGTATGGGCAGTATGTGTGTATGGGGGGCAGCATGTGTGTATGGGGGAAGTGTGTGTATAAGTAGTATGTGTGTGGGGGGGCAGTGTGTGTGTGTATAAAGGTGTGTGTGTATGGAGGGCAGTGTGTGTGTATAAAGGTATGGGGGCAATGTGTGTGTATGGGGGCAGTATGGGGGCAATGTGTGTGTATGGGGGCAGTATTGGGGCAATGTGTATGTATGGGGTCAGTATGGGGTAATGTGTGTGTATGGGGGGCAGCATGGGTGTGTATGGGGCGTGCATAAAGGCAAATGTGTGTGTATGGGGTATGGGGGGCAGTATGGGGCAATGTGTGTTTGGGGGGCAGTATGGGAGGCAATGTGTGTGTATGGGGCAGTATGTGGGGCAATGTGTGTGCATGGGGCTGTTTAGGCAAATGTATGGGGGTATGGGGGTGGTATGGGGGCAATGTGTGTGTATGGGGGTGTGTGTGATAAGGGTAGGGGGGCTTTTTTTACTGGGAGGAGGGGGGACACTTCTTAGTGGGATTCCCTGGTGGTCCGGTGGGGATTCCCTGGTGGTCCCAGTGGGGAGAGTGAACTCTAGCCTGCACTCCAGGGCTAGAGTTCACTCTCGCGAGATTTGGAGCGTTGCCGTGGTAACCGCGGCAACGCTCCGTGCTCGCGAGAGGAGGACCCGGAGGAGCTGCAGGCTGAGCTCCCGGGTCCTCTCTCACTCCCTCCCCCCGCCGGCTGTCAGCACAGTGTCTGCGGACCGGGGAGGGAGATCTATGATCTCCCCTCCGGTCCGCAGGCACATTGCAGGGCTGGCGCCTGCATGTTCTGGCAGGGGAGAGGGAGACCGTCGGTTTTCTCGGGGGGGGGGGGCAATTGCCCCATTGCCCCCCCCTGGATCCGCCACTGACACGCACACACACTCTAACACACACACACACACTCTAACACACATACACTAACACACACACTAACACACACACGTTTTAAAAAAAAATTTAATCCCCCCAGCCTCCTTACCTGTGGGAGTGATGAGGGGATTCCCTGGGGTCCAGTGGTGTCACCTGGGGGGCGGGCGGGCAGGCTGGACCTGGTGTCGGCTGGCCCTGGCCTTCCGGCTCCGGTATCAGTGCGGTACGCGAGGGAGCTGAAGAGGAAGCACTCAGGGGAGAGTGCTCCCTCGCGCGCCCGCCAGCCCGCCAGCCCGCCCGCCTGGTGACACCCCCAGGGCCAGCCTCGGGGGCCCTGAGGTGGCCGGCTCCTGGGACCCCCAGGAGAAGAGGCTGGCTACAGTGGGTACATACCGGGTCGCAGGGCGGCCGGGCCCCCAGGTGGGCCGGGCCGGGTTGCAGCCGCGACCGCTGCGACCCTGGTATGTACGCCACTGAGTATGTGTGAGTGAATGTAGGGGTGTGTTTGTGTGTAGTGTTGGTGTATTGAATGCAAGTATGCATTTGTGTGTTGTGTGGTATTTGAATGCAGTGGTATGGTTATATATAATGGTGGGGTTTGTATGTAGTGTTGACATTGAAATGCATGAGTGTATTTGTGTGTAGTGTTGGCGAGATTTTGAGATGTATGCACATATACACATACACAAACATACACACACACACACTGACACACATGCAAATACACAGACACACAATCACACACAGATACACATTGACACACATGCAGACATAGTGGTGACTGTAGGAACAATATATAGGGGGGGGGCACATAAGATACCACAGTCAAAATGGGGTGGAGGGGGTTTGAGGGGGGAGCACTAAAATGTTTTACAAGGTTGTGAGGTTATGTGCTGCCATTGGCTGTCTGATGCCAGCATGCTGTGCTCTGCATAGAATTCACATTAGCCACCCAGATTTATATTTGTGGGCTGGCTGACACCTCTTAACTTTGATCTTTGTTTAGCAGATAACTCCCATATTTGCTATCCTTATGTGAGGATGCCATATTTAAGGACACCAAATAAGGAGCTATCTGCTAAAACAGCCCCCTCATTTGGTATCTTTAAACATGGAAATCTCCAATTTAGGGAATTATCTACTAAACGGCTAAAAGATCAAAATTTAAAAAGC